TTGGGCAGTGAAAACCAGGAAGGGTGTTGGACTTTATGTCAGACAGGGAAGTCATAAAAACGTTCCTGATGGACACAACAAGCCACCTCTGAACAGTCTCCAAAAACTCCCTACAGAAACACATCCATGTTGTCAACAGGAATTGAGTGTGACTTTGTTTAATTCTATACATCTCAAAAAGAAGGTTGGGTAAGAGGTCTTCAATTATCACCAAGGTCCCCGTTTTTTGTTAATTAAACCACGACTGGCTGAGTTCACCCACTGCACTAAGCCATAGACCAAGGTTTTCCAAACAAAATGGCTGGGTTTGTCTAATACACCGAATCAAAATCAAGCAAGCCACAGTTAAGGTTGAAGGTTTGACATAGGAATTCAGCCGCTGTTGACACTTTTGACCCCTATTCAGAATGCAGTAGGTGCCCTGGGTGTTTTCTGGGAAAAGGAAATTAAATAATGGCATTAAAAACAACTCCACCCAGCTTTTCTTACACTGACAACAAGTGAATAATAGAATCCTTTTCGTATGGACAGCTTTAAAGTCTGGGACATCCAACAGGGCTTTGAAACTCATCCCGGGTGACTTTCCATGGCTTTAATTTAATTACCATGCCTTTTCTTATCTTAATCGACTTGCTCCTGTTTATAAACACAGGGCTAACTCTCTCTCTCCCCCCCCCCCACTGGTCCTGCAACCTGAGAATAGCTTTTAGCATCTGAAAAATTCATTAAATGCCTAAGACTCTTCCTTCTTTTGCTGCTGCATCATGAATTAATGGTAGAAGAAATTGGATCTCAGCAGCTCTGGGAGGAACTCTATAACTTAGTGGGAAAGAGAGAAGCACTGTCCTCTGTAGGATGACAATATTCTTCTCCTCCTTCTCCTCCTCCTCCCTCCTTCCTTCTTCCCATCCTCACATTCTTAACAGGTTGAGTTTCACCCACCTTTTAGGAGCTATGAAAACGGGACCTTGGGAAAAATGAGAGGAAAGTGTCTTTGAACTATGAAGCTGGAAATGTAATGAAATAGTAAGCCTAGCTAAAAACGTTGAGCATGATTGCCATGAAAACATGCATGAGCTTCTGCTGCATAACAGATTTTTAATTCAACCTTGTCACTTGGTAGAGATATCTGTCTAAGCATAGCTGGCTTTTCCCTGACTTTCCGACTAAGCCTTTGTTGGTTAGTTTCCCACAACACATTAATCCATGGGCCCTCAGGACTTTCAAGACTCCCTTGTAGACTGTTCAGGGCAGACCTTGTGAATCTCCTACTTCCACATGTGTTGTAGATCTGAAATGAAAGGAAGCAGAGGTGGGTTATGGGTGGGTTGTTTTCGTGTCCCCCCACACACACTATAGGCTGATCTCTGTGAACCTTTCACACCCACGGGGGAGAAAGTTATGGATCACACATCCTCATGTGATGCTGCAAGACAGCTATCCCTTGTTCCATGCTAGGACCTAGGAGAGAAATGTAGAAACCAGATGTAGAAGGCCACATCTGGAGAACTCATGAACATCTCTCCCTGACAGATGATTAGGTTCCTGACCGTTGACACAGAGGAAACTATGACCTGGGAAATCAGCTTAAAATGCCTGGAACGCAACAAAAATCACACAAAAAGACAAACTTCTTGTAGATCCGTCTGTCACAGAGATTTCAAATGTCCATTTATCCCAAAACATCCATCATTAATGGATGATGTGCTTTTCTTGGGGTTACGGGCGAGAAAAGAAAGTTCAGATGGCCAAATAGTTTTATTTTCTCCAGAGAATTAAAGAAATATATAAATTAAAAAATCTGACTTTACATGCTCTGTAGCTCAGCAAGAATATTCCGAAACAGGTAATAAACTGATAGGAGAACAATTGCAAAGGAGATTTGCAACAAAATTTGGCAGCCTCGCAATTCTCTTTGATTCCTCTCTCCCCTAGCCAAGCTCAGCCCTCATTGTCTTAGTGTCTTAGGCACTAACCAAGATTATTCACACTTTTGCAAAACATGGAGCCCCCCCCCCCAAAAAAAACCTAGTCTGACATTCCTTGTTGCATTAGTGGTATGGTTTAGCTTTCCTGAGCAATGGTACTTACAGCTGAAATCTGGGAAGCAGAAGGATTTTAATTGCCCCTTCCCCATTTTTCTGGTTAGGAAAACAACACCCCTTGACCTTGGCAGTTGGTAGCATTTGCAAGGATGAACAGGAATCAAATCTTGGTCTTTGACAGGTAGGATGAGGTGGTTTATAGTTGTGGTGAAAAATAAGGGTGGAGACCAAGGCTTGATGGACAGAGAAATATGGCTCAAATATGCCTTGGGCTGCTGGCAACGGCTCACCTGTTTGAAGATCCAGGATGTTTATATCTTGGGCTCTTAGGGGATCAGAAGGCTGGGCCAGGAGCCAACAATTATGAAGGAAGCAAAGCAACATCCTTTGTGTTTCCTGCCTCTCTCCAAAGTAACCAGGTTTGAGTCCTCGGTGAGTAACAGTCCCAGACAGACCACAGTATTCCCCATCCCAGTAGGAAATTTATCATCAGATGAATGCCAGCTTCACGTTTCTCCCACTGGTGTGAATTGCACACACACATATGTATATATTTTTATACTCGTGTGTAACTTAAGACACATTTTTGTGGCTGCTTTGGGGGAAGGTTGAACAAGGACAAGGAATGATATTCTGAATAGGGTTGCAAACAATTTCCTGGGTCTTAAATTTATGCATGGCCTCAGGCCCGCTGCAGGCATCAATAATCCGAAGAGTTCAGAAGCTGCAAAGTCAACAGCCTTGCTTTCAAGCGTGGGGGAGAAAAACAGTGTGGGGTGTCCCAAAAATAATAGGAGAGCTCTTATTTTATTTATAAAAGGCTGAGCCTTCTACTCTTTGCTGGACTGGCACAAAAGACTAAATCTAGAGCAACAGCTTTGTTTGGCCCAATTACCCCTTTCCTTGTTGCGATCTAGAAGAACTTATGGACTGCTTCTGAATGCTCCAGTGTGGTGATGATGGGCTCCTAGGTAAGAGACAAGACATCTGTTGATACTGATAGAAGAGAATATTAGTAGCTCGAGGTTGAACGGCGGGGTCCTGGGTGCTCTCTGAGCTTGGTGGTTTTTCTTGCAGATGTTTCATGACCCATCTAGGTAATATCATCAGTGCCAGAAAGGAGTGGGGTTTGCTCTCTTGGTAGTTCCTTGATAGGGTTAAAGGAACTTGGTAGGAGGAACTGCCAACTCAGAAATAATAAGCAACAGTCTAATCAAGGAAGCACCAAGAACATTCCCACCAACACTGACAGGCAAGCCACTTATGTGCAATATAAACAGACAGCAAGTCCCACTCCCTTCTAGCACTGATGATATTACCTAGTTGGGTAATGAAACGTCTGCAAGAAAATAGCCAAGCTCAGAGAGTACCAAGGACTCTACAGTCCTCCTCCTCCTCCTCCAGCAAGGCAGAAGAGCAGAGGTCTTCTGACTAGCTCACCAGCCTTTCCATCCCAAAGACTCCTCCTGCTCTTTCCTTTCCCCCCTACTCCATCATCCATCTCTCCCTGCCCCCCTCCCAGTTCTCATAGTCAACCACCTGCCAATCACAGGGACTTCAGTGACACGGTCAGGCGACTCTGCCTGTCAACCCTTCAAGATAAATCTCCTTGTGCGAAGGATGCTTGAGTTGGGAGCCTCTAATGGGGATGCTCTTAGTCCATTAAACCCAGCAGGATCCTTCTCCTCTCTAGCCCGTTTCCACGGCAGGAACTGAAATTCCAGCCCTGTGAGCTATTCCAGATGTTGGAGGGGATCCGTCTGTTGCAAGCCTGCCGCAAGAATGCGTGTTTTCTTCTGCAGAGACTTAATGCTTCAGTCGCCTACTTGGCTCCCCACGTCGTCGTCGTTCTAAAGCTCAATGTGGAAACTCAGTAGTAATTTTTTTTTTTTTGAATAGGATAGAGCTGGAAGGGACCTTGGAGGTCTTCCAGTCCAGCCCCTGCTCAAGCAGGAAAACCTATATACCATCCCAGACAGGTGAATGTCCAGTTTCTTCTTTAAAATCTCCAGTGATGGAGTGCCCACGATTTCTGGGGGCAAGCTGTTCCACTGGTTAATTGTTCTCACTATCAGGAAATTTCTCCCTAGTTTTAGGTTGCTTCTCTCCTTTAACAGTTTCCACCCATTTCTTTGTGTCCTGCCTTCTGGTGTTTGGGAGAATAATTTTAACCCCCTCTTCTTTGTGGCAGCCCCTCAAATACTGGAAGAGTGCTATCATGTCTCCCCTATTTCTTCTTTTCTTTAGACTAGTCAGACCCATGTCTCGCAGCCGTTCTTCGTAGGTTTTGGTTTCCAGGCCTAAACTTACAATAGCTTGCTTAGCCACCGTTCGAAGTTACAACAGCATTGACAAAAGGGACTTACTGTTTTTCACATGTACAACCATTGCAGCATCCACACGCTCACGTGATCAAAATGCAGACGCTTGGCAACTTGGCAACGGACTCGTCTTTACGACCATTGCTGGGTCTCCAAGGTCAGGTCATCACATATTGTGACCTTCTGACAAGCAAAGTCAATGGGGGAAGCCAAATCCACTTAACGACCGGGTGACTCATTTAACAACTGCAGTGCTTCGCTTAACCACGCCCAGAAAGAAATCTTCTTTCTTTCTTTCTTTCTTTCTTTGCACGGTTCTCCTAATACTCTCATTTCTGAAATGGTCCGTTTGTCCCTTTGTTTTTTCCATCAACAGAATCAACTTGCTTCTTACCTGCTCTTGATGCTGCGGTCAAATACTCCACAATAATAGCAGAACGGACATCCTGGTCTTTCAAATCCAAATTTAAAAACCTGAACAACCACATCCTGGTCTGTTTACCGGCACACCCTTGTTTTCAGGAGGAAGAGCAGAAGAAGAGATTGGGGGGGGGGGAGAGAATAAGGTGTTGATACATGAAATTCAAGGCAATTGTCTTCTTAGCTGCTGACTGACCTAAGCTCTCTTCAACAGGAGACTTCAGAAGGAGATCAAGAAATATCAAAACTCTGTGTGAATGTAGCAAGAAAGTTATGGAGAAACCGGATTCCTATCTCCAGGGATCTGCTGGCCTACAATGAGGTAGGTTGGTCCAAAGATGGACAGAAGGGTAGACCAGGCACGGTCACCTCCATAGAGAAAGAACTTCCAAGGAACTCCTAAGGAGATCAAAAGAGGTATTGAAGGCAATACACCGTTTTTTTATTAGTTTATAATATAAAATACAAAAATACAAAATAGTAGGAAAATAGGGGAGGGAGAAGGGAAAGGGAAAGTGTAGGGAAAGAGGGCAAAAGAAAAAAAAAGACGTTGATTTCCGGCTCTCTTTGGTGCAGTAAAATAAAACAATAACATCAAACTATTAGTTTACATAATAGTATAAACTAGCCGTTTCTATAACGACAAACTTATCTAATTGGTAAAACGCAAAATCAAAGTTTCATCAAAGCACAAAGTCCAGAAGTGGGTTCCAAGTAGAAACAAAAATACTTGTGTGTTTTTTTTCTTTAATCAAAGCAGTCAATTTAATCATCTCTGCTAACTCCATCAACTTTTGCAGCCATTCATCCTTTGTGGAAATCAAAGTGTCCTTCCATTTTGATGCACAAAGCACAACTTTTGATGTTCTTCCTTCTTTGAACACTTCTGAGTTTTAATTGAGCTTCATTTCCATCCGATTATTCCTGAAAAGCTCAAACAATATTGGCCACCATCTCTAAACAGTTTAGAGATAATACGCCTTCAATGCAAGGCCCAAATGCATTCCCTAAGGGCATGATATTAATTCCCGCATACCTTTTTTTAAGCCCTTCTGGGGGGGAACCAGACTCCCAGGTACAAGAGGAGTCTTCTCACACAAGTCCTTAAACTCCTGGCTTAGGGGATTCTCTTTAATGACTGTTCAAAGCTTGGAAAATCTGCCAGTCAAGGCTCAGGGCTGAGTCAGTTTTCTCTGGTTTGGTTCCTAATCGCTGGAGTATAATTATAGCTGAGTATAACTACTAGGACTAAAATGCCAGAGTCTCTGTTAATTTCAGAGAATACACAGCAGCTTTTGTCATCCGTACTCCGGATCTTTGAGTTGATGCTGTGATTACAGGAACCACGCCAAGGTTTCGGGGAGCTATCTGACTCGGCAGAACAAAGCAAATATAATTTATCCTCCACCATCAACCCTGTGCAAAGAGAACCAGGTCTGTCAACAGGTGTGCCTTTGTCTGCCCACCTGTCCTGCTTTCTCATCCTTGTTTACCTTAGCAATATTTTTAGTCGGTGGCTACAAAAGACAGGAGTGTAAATATGATGAAGAGAAAAAAAAAGATTACAGGAAACGCATGTTGAGATGTTTAGACAGGGTGGAAAGGTTTTTAAGTGAACCAACAAGAGACAGTTAGAATTAACAAGGTCTACAGGCCAAACTTCATTGGCTGCAGGAAGGATCTGTGATTTTCTCTGCTGCCCACTTTTAAGGATGGACCTTGGCTTTCCAAGACTTTTTCCCAGGCATAGAAGGAAAAAATGAAGATCCTACAGCATTTTTTTTTCAACCTTGGCTACTTTAAATAGGAGGACTTAAATTCCTAGAATTCCCCAGCCAACTAGGATGGCTGGGAAATACTGGGAGTTGACGTTCACCCAACTTAAAGTAGTCAAGGTTTTGAAAATCACACTAAAGGGTTCCATTGAATTTGGGACCAAACCAGAATTTTCTAATGTTGGATGGAGATCGTCATCTGAAGTCAGGTTGGGAAAAAAAGGGACATTGGGTCTTCTGTTAGTGGAAAACCATCGGAGTTTCTGATTGAGAAGAAGGTTCCGCATGAAAAAAATGCTCCAGAATTTACAAAAAGGAGTTAGTATCAAAACTGTGAATCATTTGTAGTGAATTTTCGAGTACAAAAGGAATCTGGAGCTTAAATTAAGCAATTAGAACATTTGAGGTCACATCCTTCCAAAAGACTAGACTACCAACTTCTCATTTACAACAAAAATTAGAAGGAAGGGTTTTCTGGAATGCTAGGGAGATAAGAATCAAGGTTAGGAGTGAGGTTGAGAGAAAGGGATAGAAACTAATCAAGGAGAGCAAAAGAAATTCAAACGTTAGGAAGCTGGATTATTTTGCACATCTCTTTTAATTCCCTATAAATAGTGCCAATTAGACAATGATGGAAAAAGAAGTAAGGTGACATTAAACATTCTGGAGAAAGCATGAAATCCACAGTAAATAACTCACTTGTTGAATTGTTTGATTTAGTTCCATAAAGACATTTTAAATGGCCTAATGGCACCATCTGCAGCCTAGGAATAATATTACAAGGACATTCAAACTTTATTTTTTTCTCCCTTCTGTTCAGTTGTTGTCTGATTCTTGGAGAAGTCCCTGCTGTTTTCAGAAGTGGTTTGCCATTGCCTTCTTCTTAGGGCTGAGTAAGAGGGGCTGGCTCAAGGTCACACAGCCAGCTTTTATGCCAGATGGTTTTCATGGCTAAGGCGGGACTAGAACTCACTGTCTCCTGGTGATTGCCCAGTCACCCAGCTACTTTCAGGCTTAACATGGGACTAGAACTCACCACCGCCTGTTGATTGCCCCTAAGACAGGACTAGAATTCACTGTTTCCTGGTGATTGGCCCAAAGTCACTCCGCTGGCTTTCACACCTAAGGCAGGACTAGAACTCATGGTCTCCTGGTGATTGGCCCAAAGTCATACAATTGGATTTCATGCCTAAGGCAGGATAAGAGCTGCTTTTTGACCCATTAACGTCTTTTTAAAATGTTGGTTTATTCTTGTTTTCCAGTTTGGAAAATCTTTAGTCTTTTTGTCAAAGCGTTGCGCTGTGTCCAGATGAAGTGGTTAAGTTCATGATGGGAGCCTGGCCAAGTGGAAAGTGACACAGGCTGAAGGGCCAATGCAGTTGGAGAAGAGCAAACAAGAAAGGAAACACATTCTTAATTTTTCCTATTGTAATCAACATTTACTCTTGGACTGTGTCCATATCAAAATTCTGATCTGATCCGAAAGGAATTCCAGATCGCTGCGTTCCCACAACTTCTCTCCAGCCTCCATCACTGAGGATAATGCCTGCAACTGCCTGCTTGCTGCACACAGGCTTCCTTCTGCCGGATTCTGTTCAGACCCCAGCTGGGGGAAAGAGGAGAAATGAGACGGGACGTTCCTCTCTTCTCCATTAAATCCATATCAAATGGGAGGAGGTGGGTGGAGAAGGAGAAGAATTATCTTCGGCTGATAGTTCAGACTGACCAGGGGTAAATGGAATATTTTGTCTTGTCAACAGATTCCTCCTCATCTCTGCAAGTTTACCTGAGAGATGCTGTTGGATTTTGTGTTTTGAAAACTTTACAGTCAATTGTACTTATTCTAGATAGATGAGAGGGACAGTGAAAGAGGTGATAGATAAACGATCGATAGATAGATAGACAGATAGATAGATAGATAGATAGACAGACAGACAGACAGACAGATAGATAGATAGATGATAGATGGAAAGAGAAGAGAGAGAGGATAGCCAGAGATATAATCAATAGATAATAGATGGAGAGAGAGAGAGAGAGAGAGAGGATGACAGACAGAGATAGAGATAATCAATAATGATAGACAGAAAGAAAGAGATAGATAGATAGATAGATAGATAGATAGACAGACAGATAGATGATAGATGGAAAGAGAAGAGAGAGAGGATAGCCAGAGATATAATCAATAGATAATAGATGGAGAGAGAGAGAGAGAGAGAGAGAGAGAGAGAGAGAGAGAGGATGACAGACAGAGATAGAGATAATCAATAATGATAGACAGAAAGAGATAGATAGATAGATAGATAGATAGATAGATAGATAGATAGATAGATAGAATGATAGATGTAATCAATAGATGATTGATGGAAAGAGAGAGATACGATAGACAGACATAATAGATGATAGATAGATAGATAGATAGATAGATAGATAGATAGATAGATGATAATGGATGGATAGACAGATGAGAGAGAGATAGAGAGAAGATGATAGATAACAGATAGAAAATAATTAGAAGAGAGGAGGGAAGGGAAGGGAAGAGAAGAATGTTTTTTATTTATAAACCATCCAGTTATTCAGGAGCTGAGCACCCATCTCTTAAATTCAAAAATAAACACCTCCAATCCACGCCAGGCCTCTGATCCAATCAAACAAGAGGGCCTTTGTTATCGCCCTCAGCTCTTATTCCCCCCCCCCAGAGATAAAACCTTTTCAGCAGGCCTAGGGCACCATTTACAGAAAGCAGATACCAGCCAGAGAATCCTCCCTGGTTCTCACTCAGCTCTCTCTGCTAAAGAAATAAATTGTGATGCTAATGCCCAAGGATTGGGGGGGGGAAGGGAGAGCCAAAAGGGCCCCTGGCGGAAGAAGAAGGGGAAAAAGGCCAAATACATTTCAAAGCACAGAAAAGTAAAAATGAGCTGTCCGAACATATTGGCTCTCAAAAGGGGCGGGGGGGGGGGAGAATTTTCCCTGTTCCTCTTAAATGCTCCTTTCCCACGCTCTGCGAGAATTTTGCATTCTCTCTCCAGACTTCCTGGCCAATCCAACAGATGAAAAGATTCACGGTCCAGGCAGAGCTCTTTGGTCAGCCACTCCAGACCAAATAAAAAAAATAAAATAAAAATTCTTCCCAGAAGCTTTTCATAATTCTCCAGCAGCATTTACACATTCCGCTCTCCCTCCCCGTGCGATTACCATTTTTCCTAAACAGAGCAAAGCCCAAACATATGTCTTTGCAATATGTTGCAGATGCTGAATTAAAAGACAGAGAGAGGAGGAGAGAGAAACAAAACAAAAAGAAAAGGAAAACGTGTCCAGTGATGGAGAAGGAAGCGGCTAAAACTAAATAAACCTTGATGTCCCTGATTGGAAAGTTCTCCAGAATTTAAGAGGAAGATCAAAGGCATCGTAGGAGTGAAAGAAAGGAAGATTGTGTTTAGGGAGAATGTGTGTTTGGAGAAAGTGTGGATGCAGGCAGTCCTCAACTTACAACCATTCATTTAGTGACTGTTCAAAGTTGCAACGTCACTGAAAAAAGTGACTTATGACCGTTTTCCACACCGTTACACCATCCCCAGCGTCACATCATCAAAATTCAGATGTTTCGCCACTGGCTCATATTTATGTCAGTGAAAGAAAGAAAGAAAGAAAGAAAGAAAGAAAGAAAGAAAGAAAGAAAGAAAGAAAGAAAGAAAGAAAGAAAGAAAGAAAGGAATGAAAGAGAAAGACAGACAGAAAGAAAAAGAAAGAAAAAGAAAGAAAGAAAGAAAGAAAGAAAGAAAGAAGAAAAAAGAACAAAAGAAAGAAAGAAAGAAAGAAAGAAAGAAAGAAAGAAAGAAAGAAAGAAAGAAAGAAAGAAAGAAAGAAAACTTCAGACTGTTATTTTATAAATGATTCACAAGATGCAATCCTGGTGTTTGCGAATTGTCCATTTGTGAAATCACTCTGTGCCTTCTGGGGAAAGTCAGAAAAAACACAAGTGTGAAATTACAATTACTATTTGCAGTTCTCCATAAAGAGATTTGCGCAGGGTGAAAGAGCAGACGCCCCCCCCCTCCTGCTTTGGGGTGAAACCCCAGCATGGCTTTGCAGGGGTCATTTGTCTCTTGTTGAAGCACCGGGATGTTTGCAGAAACCAATCAAGGATGCAGACCCCTCTGGAATCCTAATCAGATCAGCTGATTCTTCTTTTTTAAAAAATTTGGATTGCATTTTTATTCTCCTATGATGGGCGACTCTGCTGGTCCTTTGCTTTGAACTGGGTAGAAAGAAAACTACAGGTGGTCCTCAACGTCTGGTCACAACTGAGCCCAAAATTTACGTTGCTAAGTGAGACGTTTCTTAAGTGAATTTTGCCCCCTTTTACGACCTTTCTTGCCACAGTTGTTAAGTGAATCACTGCTGTTGCTAAATGAGTCACATGGCCATTAAGTGAATCTGGTTCCCCCCCCCCATTGACTTGGCTTGTCAGGAGGTCGCCAAAGGGGATCCTGTGATCCCACAGCAATGCGCCGGTCATAAATAGGAATCCGTGGCCAAGTGTCTGAATTTTGATCCTGTGACCCGGGAGATGCTGTGACGGTCATAAGGGTGAAAACGTGTGGCAAGTCACTTTTCAGTGCTGTTGTGACTTTGAACGGTCACTAAATGAACCGTTGTAAGTCAAGGACAACCTGTCAAGGTGATGGTTGTGAGGAGCTGTCTTTTCAGCACCAGAGTTTCTCCACTGGTGTCCGTGCACTTTAGGATTGCCAGATCCCCACAAGAGGAAAAGCAACTAGGTGCTTCCTAACCTGACCCACTTTATTCCACTTAAAGTGATCTGCAGTGCACAGAGAGTTTTACTTACACACACACACACACACACACACACACACACACACACACACGGACAGGAGGACGAAAAGTGATGGTCCGCGGGCAGAGAGCACAAAATGGCTTTAGAGAGGGTTGAGCCAGGAAGAGGGGGAGGCTGGGTGTGCAGCACACCAAACTGGGGTGTGGCAGAGAAGTGTCTAGGTGTGTGATCAGGGCTTTCAAGGAAGGGACATCCATGTGTGCAGGGACTGGAGGAGAGTCACAGCTGAGGATTGTGTGTTTACACACACACACACACACACACACACACAGAGGACACACCAAGGTGACTGGTATTCTGTCTCCTGGAGAAAATAAAAGGTAAGATTAGATAGATAGATAGATAGATAGATAGATAGATAGATAGATAGATAGATAGATAGATAGATAGATAGATAGATAGATAGAGGGAGAGATAGACAAAGACAATAGATGACAGATGGAGAGAGAGACAGAGAGAGGATAGAGATATAATCAATAAATAATGGAGAGAGAGAGAGAGAGGATGACAGAGATAGAGATACTCAATAGATGGAAAGAGATAAGATAAAAGATTTATTATCACTTTTCCTGGATACACATTGGCACACATTAAAAAACATGCACATCCTTTTGTGATGGTTTGAACGCGCAGGCTGTGAAGCATGTGTGCGTGTTTGTGTATGTGCACTCAATCATTGCAACTGAGTGAGCTGTGTCAGGGAGAGACAAACTCTGCAGTGCAAAGCTGGGGTCTCAATGACCCAAGTGTTATTTGCAGGGGGAGGGCAGAGGAGGCAAAATTGGATGGCTGCAGATCGTGACTGGTTGGTTGGGGGTGTCGCCTGCATGTGTGAAGAGCGTTTGCTGTACTTCGGTGAGTGTGGAAGGCATGCCCTCAGCAGAGGCTGAGGAAGCCCAGTTGTTTTGCTGCAGACATCTTCCAGCGAGCCTCCCTCGGCTACCAGCTCCGTCTCTGCTCCGAGTAAGTCCATTTGTTTCTAAGGGGGGGAGTAAAAAGGGGGATCCAGCAGGCAGGCAGGCAGGCAGCGGAGTCTGTTTTATTTCCTATTGTTTGGAAATAAAGCATTAGAAGTTGCAGGTAGAGAATATTCCGAGATAGTTGGATCCTGCCCTTCCTCTCAAGAAATTCAGAGGGCTGACGCCTTCCCTATCTCCTGTTTCCACTAGCCCTGGGAAGAGAAAAAGGAAAGAAAGAAAGAAAGAAAGAAAGAAAGAAAGAAAGAAAGAAAGAAAGAAAGAAAGAAAGAAAGATTGAAAGGGACCTTAGAGGTCTTCTAGTCCAACCCCCTGCTCAGACAAATACTTGTCCAATCTCTTCTTAAAAGCCCCAGAGCTGGAGCACCCCCCAACTTCTGGAGGCAGGTTTTTCCACTGAAGGAAGAGAGAAAACTGTTTATTTCAGGGGTCTTTATGGGAAGATTGGCTACACTTTCTTAGCTGATGTCCTACCTTTTCATTTAAAAAAAAAAAATCCTCCTGGGAGTAATCTAACGCTTCCTTCTTCTTGAAGTCTCTGCTCTTCCCTCTCAAACCTGAATAGCTCCTTCTGAGCTTGCCCAGGTCATAACCATGTCATTCCTCTCCATCATCTCCAACAGCTATGAACCTCTCCTTCAGCCTCACCTTTCTTGGGAGCCACCTGGAGCCCTGGATGCCGGCCAACCTGTCTTTGTCGGGACAGCTGAACGGGAGCCAAGGGCTGGGCTGGGCGGAGCTAGAGAAGTTGCTGTTCCTCTTCAATGATGATCCAGTCATCATCAGCCTCACCCTCCTGTACCTGATGTCCTTCTTGGTGGGGCTGGTCGGCAACGTCATGTCACTCCGGATGCTGACCCGGAAACGAAGCAACAACATGCCCAGCTTGAATGCCACCCGGAGTCTCCTGATCAACTTGGCTATCTGCGACTTGATGGTGGTCTGCATCTGCCTGCCCATCACGACCGGGAACTTGATCTACAAAGCATGGGTCTACGGAGACTTGCTGTGCAGGGCAACGCCATTCATCCAGGCCGTCGCCGTCTCAGCCAGCATCCTCAGCCTGACGGTGATCAGCTTGAACCGCTATTACAACGTGCACAATCCCCTCAAAGCCCGGTCCTTCTTCACCCGGAGGAAGATCTTGAGTACCATCCTGATGGTTTGGGTCTTGTCTTCAGGCATCAGCATGCCTCTTATATTTATGAACAAACGAGAGGAGATTGGGGTGGGGTCCGATCTGCCGTTGGTGTTCCCCATTTGCCGGGAAGTGTGGCCCCAGGAAGAGCTGAAGCAAACCTACAATTTCTTCCTCTTCTGCACTCTCTATTGCTTGCCGGTCTCCTTCAACATGGTCATCTGCTACTTGACTGTCCATCGGCTCTGGAGCCCCACCAGCACCCTGAGAGATTGTGGTGGTGCCTTGAAGCAGACCTTGCTGGCTTCCAGGCTGAAGATCCGCCGGAAGGTGGTTCAAATGGTCATCGCCTTAGTCCTCCTCTTTGCCATTTCCTGGCTGCCCATTTACCTGGTGGACATCTGGATAGAGTTCCACAGCCCCAAGTCCTTGTGGGATGAGAAACCATCTCCTTTGGTCCTGCAACTGCGAGCTTTTTCTCAATGGCTTAGCCTCACCAACTCCAGCCTCAACCCCATCTGCTACTGTTTTCTGGGCGACCTCTACAGATCGGCTAAGGAAATGAGGAGCAGATACCAAAAGAAGATGGCTTCTCTTCTCAACTTCTCTCTCTCCCGAAAGAGCTGGCCACCTTCTGTTCCTGAGATGCTTTCTTACAGGAGGTCTATGGACTCTGCTAAAAAAGAATCGGACCTCGCAACAGGAAGAGAAGGCAACAGAGGCCACAGCCACAGCTGCAGAGACCTTGCCTAAGATGCTCTTTTATATGTATCAGTCTTTATCAACTAGGGATGGCCGATAGTGCGTTGGCGAAGAAGCATCTTCCTACAAGGGTTGAAGTTTCCACTGTGCATCTTCCCTGGATGTGAGCACCTTCCTGAAGCCAATCGAAGAGAATATTTGTAGCTCAGATTTGAACTGTCGGGTCCTTGGTGCTCTCTGAGTTTGGTTGTTTTCTTCCAGACATTTCACGAGCCTACTAGGGCAGAGGTCCCCAACCTTTTGGGTACCAGGGACCAGTTCCATGGAGAGAGGAGGTTTTTCCACCGACAGGAGGGTGCGTGGTTTTGTGTGCTGCCTGCATCTCGCGGATGGGACTTTGCTTGTTTTTGTGGACTGGTTGCTGGCATGCTGCGCCCCGGTGCTGGTCCACAGACTGGGGGTTGGGGACCCCTGTACTATGGAACATCATCAATGCTAGAAAGGGAGTGGGGGAAGAGGAGGAAGAAGAGGAAGAGGGGGGAAAGAAGGAGGAGGAGGAGGAACTGTGGGATCCTTGGTGCTCTCTGAGCTTGGTGGTTTTCTTGCAGACATTTTGTGAGCCTACTAGGGAACCCATCAATGCTAGAAGGGAGTGGGGGTTGCAAAGAGGAGGAGGAGGAGGAAGAAGAGGAGGGGGGAAGAAGGGAGAAAGAGGAGGAGGAGGTGATGGAGAAGGGAAGGAGAAGGACTGTGGGATCCTTGATGCTCTCTGAGCTTGGTGGTTTTCTTGCTGACATCTCCTGACCCAACTAGGTAACTCTATCAGTGCTTCTGGAAGGGAAAACAGTGAATCAAAGACAGGATCTGAACACTTGCAGAGATGATAAGAGCCCCAACATGCTCAATTTTAGCTGTTAATTGCAAGATTTTGGAGTCTCTCTGGGAACCAAAGTACCCCCAGGAACATTTTTGGTTTCAAAGTCATTTTTCTCCATTTTCATCTGTTACAGTCCCTTTAAACGTCCAGGGTTCCTTCAGATGCAATTTACACTAGATGTTTTCTGCCTGCAGCTGATAGAAATTTAATTCCATTATCACATAAAATTAGAGTTAAAAGGCAATTTTACCTCTAACTCAGAATCAAGTGCTCCTAGTATAAATTCTTGTAAAAAAGAAAAAGAAAAAAAAAAAAGCTTTCTCCTAGGAAAGAAAGTCAGCTTTGGATAGAAAAAAGGCTGGGTCTTCTCTCTTTAGGGAAATTTTAAAAAAAGGCTACTTTAGAATTCAATTTATAGTTTGGGGTCTCTTTTATCCGGTATCCACTTGTAAGGCGTCTACAGTCAATTAATTGCTCTTTTCACTAAGAATCCTGGCTACTAACATTTATAAAGATGATAAAGGTAGCATATAAATAAATAAACAGCTTCTCCACCTGCTAAAACATCTTGAAATCTGTATTATGGAAAAAGACAAATGCTGAGAGTTTATGGTATATGTCTGAATTCCAATCAAACATTTAAATCTCCCTGTCACTCTAGAGACCAAGGAATGGAAACGACAGAATCTGGAATTAATGACCCGAAAAGAGATGAAACTGACACACAACACTGAAGTTGTCAGGTATGTGCTAATGTCCCGTGATAAAAGCTGGGATGTTGAAGTTAATCAATCTTTTCACTCACTCCCCTGCAAACAAAGCCCAAGGACATTAAAAAGCTATTTGCTGAGAGATGAAATGGAATCGCATTTGGTTTCCCATGACACCCAAATATCGCCTGCCAGGTATTTTCATATCTCGGGCAGGTGCAGCAGGACTCAAAGCTGGAAAATGATATAGCATCCATCAAGTCAGCTGCCATCAAACAGGAAAGTCAGGAGGAAGAGGTGCCTCTCTCGATAAGGGTCGGATAGGATAGAATAGAGCTGGAAGGGACTTTGAAGATCTTCTAGTCCAGCCCCCTGCTCAAGCAGGAGAACCTATATCATCTCAGACAAGTGACTGTCCAGCCTCTTTTTAAAAACCTCCAGTGATGGAACGTCCACAATAGAAATATTAGTATTTCTGATTTTGGTTACGTGGTCCAGGCTGCCTCAAAGGCCTAGCCAATACATAATAAAAATAGAATAGAGTTAGAAGGGACCTTGGAGGTCTTCTAGTCCAGCCTCCTGCTCAAGCAGGAGAACCTATACTATCTCAGACAGGTGATTGTCTAGTAGTCTCTTCTTAAAAACCTCCAGAGATGGAGCGCCCACGATTTCTGGAGGCAAGCTGTTCTACTGGTTAACTGTCCTCACTATTGGGAAGTTTCTCCTTAATTCTAGGTTGCTTCTGTCTTTGGTCAGTTTCCCACCATTGTTTCTTGTCCTGCTCTCTGGTGCTTTGATGAATAATGTGACCCAAATTAATTATGAAATATTCCCTAAACTTCGATCATGAAAGGACTCCTTATTTCCATGCAGCTTGCTATAGCCTTGGCTCCTTTCCCCACAAATTAAGCAAGAAAAACGAACAAACAAGAACCGTAAGCCTTTCATTCTCACAAAAACAGGATCTGGTAAAGTCACCTTAAGAGTCTTAGAAGAACATGTTGTCCAAATCCACCCTCTTGTGGCGAGAAGTGGAGATTCTCCACTGGTTGACAGAATTCTGGCTAATATTCTTTATTAAGCCCGTAGTTTGACTGTTGGTGTGGAGGAAGAAAGAGATAGAGGGACATAGTCCAAGGATCTAAGGTGCTTTAGGAAGGACATAGCTGAGAAAGTGGAGATATGGAGGGCCCTAGAAAGGATTCACAGAAAGAGGGGAGATGGCATGGGGTAGATTGAGTCACCTTGAGAAGGTAGGGAGATAACTGGAGGAGGAGGAGACCAAAGGAAGAGTGAGAGTGGAGCAGAAAGACTCCAGTGAAGTAGAAAGCCTTTGATCCAGGAGAATTAGAGAAGGAGAGAAAGAATGTTTACACCCCTCCACAGAGTTTCCTTTTAAGATTATATATTTATGTGCCTATCAAAAAGAAATCATTTAGGCTGCTGAGCTGCATATTGTAAATATTAAAGGAATCCTGTATCGGAGAGCCTGAAAGAAACGAGTCTTTGTCTCTAAGGTCAAAAAGGCCTACATTGTGTTTATCCCCTGGGCTGAGCTGAGCCCTCTGTTCTTTGTGTCCTGGAGGAAGTTCTATATTAATATAGTAAACATAAATATTTGCAACTGAGAAATTCAGTTTAGGGGAGTGATGGATTAACTTGGGAAATGTTATGAGCCGGGATGCTGGTACTGGACCTGAATTAAGTTTTTTTTGGCATTAAAAATTTAAATGTTAGGAGAGCACGATCATCTTGAACCAGCGCCTTCCATCATGGCTAGATGATGGGATTTGTAATCCATCGCAGCTGGTGTGTCAGGTTCAGGATAGGCTGGATTAAAGTCTCAATCCCAAATCGCCCCAGAGTTGGAAACGAATCATAGGAAGTATCTTCCTCCGTTTGCTAGCTGGTGAATTCTGGGAGTTGAAGTTCACCCATCTTAAAGTTAACAAACACTGATCATCATCATTTTTACTGCTTGAAATGAGTTTAGCAACTTCCCACCTGTCTCTATGAAGCTTAGGAAACTCTGTTATTGAACTCTTAATTCCCAAAAAAAGAGAGAGAAATATGCCAATATTTTTACATTCACAAGCTCATTATACCCTACCTTGCAGTGAAAATAGAAGTGCCAAATATTGTATGGCACAGAGAAACAGTACCATAAAAGCTTGAGATTACTAAGGTTGACCAAAGCTGCCCTGGAGTCTTCTATAAATGAAATCATAGCCAGTGGCCATCACAAACTACTGAACGAGCAGACCTTCGCAAAATGCTGGTATCGTCTTTTAACATGTGAATAATACCGCCTGTGTTAGTAGGATGGCCAGAATAGACGGGGCACTGTAAATTCAGAAGCTCCACTTCTTACTTCTCCAGATACTTCAAAGTTTGTTTTGGTCAGTCCTTTCACAACCCCCCTTTTCATTTTCCTCTAAACCAGCAGCCCTAAATGGGAAGAAAAATCCCAAAAGAATATTTGGGGATATATGAGGTCAACGCCTGTCCAGCTTGTTTTCATCCCCCATAGATGGTTGGCCCAGTTGAACGCTTCCTTGTGTCATTCTGGCTGAGTTGCCGTTCCACAACCCCACCTTAATTTCCAGGGCAGAAAGCATTCAGTGCAAATAAGGGCCTGTTCCAAAAACCTCATTCAGTTCTGCGTTCCAACAGATGCAAGGAAACAACATGGCTGAACACTGCTATAAATCTCCTCTTGCTAATGCCTCTTCCTTAAAAATAAAGATTCATATTTGATTTGTCTAGAGGCTCACCCACCACAATGCATCTGCCTGGCTTTTGCTCCCTTCATCAATCTTAGGCAATAGACCAAGTTGAAGGGGGCTTGACAGGGGAGGAAGATCTTCGTGCCCTGAAGGGCTCTTTTTTCAACAGAAGAAAAGAATAAAGCTTAGGCTGCTTATCTGAGATGCCGCTGGAGGAGGCATCTCACCTGGGCACTGGAAACATTCACTTGGAGATTGAATGGGTAGAAGATTCTTGGTTCTGAATTTGTTGTGGTGGTCCTTCCTGCTCCTTTGTCCCAACAGGTGAGGGACCTTGGTCCAAAGGACCCCACTGGATCACCAACCCACCTCCCAAGTCTTGAGTTGACTTGATGCACACCAGTAGCCCAAAGAAGAACTTCAAGAGAACATCTTCTGCATTCTGGGTGACTTTGTTTTCCTGACTCCTGAGAATATGGAAGCGTTGAGGGCCAGGACTTTTTTAAGATCTGGAAATCACCCACCACATCCTCTGGTTATAAGTTTTAAATTAAGACCGATTAATAGTAACTGCAGAGAAACACATTGTTCCCTTTGAGGATTTCCAGACCTTTTCTACCCAAGATATTACAAAGTGTTCCTGTTTGCCTCTTAGGATGTATTCCTTAGCCCAAGCACTATTCCTAATCTTGCTTTAAGAAAACCACAATAATGCTCTCTCCCTGCTCTTTCCCAATCGCTTCCACGTTGTGTTCAATAATAAGACTGTCAGAATTGAATATATTCAGGATTGCTTTTTGGCAAATCAACCCTTGTTTATTTTTTTCCACGCAAAAACCTGAGAAGGCCCTTGCCTTGTTTTTATCCAAGGGTGAGTCACACATTCCAGATTTTGGCAGCAAGCAAAGTTGCAAAAAAACCAGAAGGGCAGATTTATACATCTTATTATCAGCTGCTCCCGATGCAGAGAGTTGAAGCATCTAAGGAGAAATCTAGTTCTTCTGGCTCCAGAGATATACAGGAGGAAGACCTGGGTCTCTTTCCACAACATTGGGCGGGGAAGAAGGAAGGAAGAGGGGAATGCTGGCCAAATTCCGCGCAATTTTTGCATAAGTGAAATTTCAAGTGTTAAAGGAATCCTGTGCAGTTAAAATAGCCAACACGCTCTAAGATGGGCTGAAATATCCAGTGGCAATTGTGGCAGGGACCTTATTTTACTGGTGTTGGGGTCTTCTGAAATCCCAGCTTCTGCAGAACCATCTTTGAATAGACTCAAATACATCACCCTAAAGACTGGCTGCCCCAAAGAATCTTTGCTGGTATTTTTCTGTTAGACCAGGTTTCCGCAAAGCCGTAGACGTATCGGCTCACAACGATTCCTGGGAAACAGGCTTAAAGATCATGGGATGGTTTGATGAAACCAAAGTTGGAGAGATTCTTCACTCGAATGGCTTCTTCACTAGCAATTGTGGTCTGAGACAGCTTTCTCTTGCAAAGTCCATCTGGACTGTGGCACACTTCATACTATGCTTTTTCTTACCCGTGGATTACAGCAAAAATACAGATCAAGCCATGATTTAGAAGACCAGCGAACCCAGTTAATGATTTTTCCCTGCCATCTTTTCCAAACACCTTTCAAAATAGAACTTTTAGCATTATTTGTAGGGGGTTTTTTAATGGAAAAAAAATGAAACTAGCTGGGTGACTTTGAGTCAATTGCCAGACGATGGTGAGTTCTAGTCCCGCCTTTAGTCATGAAAGCCAGCTGGATGACTTTGGGCCAATTGCCAGAAGATGGTGAGTTCTAGTCCCGCCATTGGCATGAAAGCCAGCTGGGTGATTTTGGGCCAATCCCTCTCTCAGCCCAACCCAACTCACAGGGTAGTTGTTTTGGGGAAAACAGGAGAAGCTATGTAGGATATGTTTGCCACCTTGAGTTATTTGTAAAAATAATAAAGGCGGGACATGAATAAATAAATTTAGGCATACTACTACAACCAAGAGTCAGTCAGCTATTCTACTACCAGAGACTCTGCAACATGCTGCATTTTTGTTCACTGTATCCCACCTTCCTGGCTGGAGCTGAGGGGAGACTGAACAGAAGCAATGTAAGAGGACACTTTTTTGTGTGTTCTTCCTTCCCAGAACAGACTCTGTATTAAATATATTTTTTAATATATTAATTCTTTCTTTCCATTTGTTTTAAATGCACCAAAGCATCAACATAAAACAGTGGTGGAACCCACCCCATTGTAACGCAACCGTAAAAATAAGAGGTAAAACTGGACAAAACCAAAGAGGGGTTTTGAGAATCTATTCCTCAGAAGGTTCAGAAACTCACATCCGAGCAATGTGTTTAAAAAGGCTGTAGAAAAAGGTACAGTTGTGGAGGTCAACCTGGATGGACCTTATGCTTTGGGGCAGCGGTCCCCAACCTTTCTAGCTTTGTAGACCAGTGGGGGGGAGAGGAAATGGTTCTGTGTGAGAAGCAGACCTGCACACTCGTGCAGCTCCATTTGCGCCAGTGGTGGGCACTCGCATGCGTGCGTTAAGCTCCACTTGCACGAATGGCATGCACGCTGCTCCATCTGCACAAGTGGCAGGCACTCACACATGCGTGTGAAGATCCATTTGTGCCAAGGGTGGGCCTACCCGCCGCTCACACAAATAGAGCTTCACGCAGGCGTGCGAGTGCCCGCCACTTGTGCATGTGCACACACTCGCCTGTTTTCATGCGGCCCGGTTCTGAATGGGCCGTGGCCCAGTAACCGGGCTGCAGACCCAGGGGTTGGGGACCCCTGATTTGGGGGACATCAAATAGGGAGGATTCTTTGGGAATTTCGAACACTCCTCCATCTCCCTCTTGCTCAGTTTTTGAGCAAGTTTTCTGGTTTAGGATATCCAAAAAGTACAAAATCGGCCTCGTACAATTTGTACAGCCGCTGCCGCCACGCCATGGGAATTTTCGCAAACCAGTCCTCCTCCCAACTGTTGGCTGTCCTATTCCGGTAGCTGGGAGGGAAGTGGAGAAGATGGTCCACCTTGAGGAGTTGCAACAGGTAAGTAGCATCTTCATCCAAGGTCTCCAGTTTCCCAACAAAGTCATACTCGATCTGGCAGGGATGACACAGGCGGTACACCTGCCTCCAATGCTCATTGAAGGGGGCCAACTTCTCTGTCCGAGGGTCCAGCAAGTACTGGATGAAGTCTGAGAAGGAGACTCGGAAGCCACCTTCAAAGGCTTCGCTCACCGAGGTCGGCAGGCTGCTGTAGTTGGAGTAGAGCTTGAGCATGGGGATGGCAAACCGGCGGTAGAATTCCTCGTTGGCCAGCTCAAATTTGCTGCGGAAGGCCGAGATCAGCCGAACAAAGGGGTCCCGGACGAAGAGGAACTTGGTGTACTTCTTGAGTTTGATCTTCATGAGGTGGCGGGAGAACTTGCCGTAGCGACGCCAGAATTTGTTGAAGGTGAAGTGGGTGCTGGTGTTGTGCACGTGCTCGCGAGGTATGTCCAAAGGGTCGACATAGGGGACCCCTTGATCCATCAAGCTTTCGCTCAGGACAATCATCACCCGCTTCCAGTTGGTGCAAGCCACTTTGGGAACGTAGCAGTAGATGACGCCGTGGCGGTCATCGACAATGAGGTGGTTGAGCTCGTAGTTGGGGATGTCATCAAAGGTCCGCTCCTTTGTCGGGAAGGAGAAGCTGGAATTGGTGCACCAGTCCTGCAACATCTGCCGTCTCTCCTTCTGCAAGTTTGCTTGGTCCAGCACCAAGCTGGCCTCCCTGGTGGGCCAGTCGTAGCCTCTGACTTTCTCCTCCAAGTTGCTGGTCCCAGGCTTGCTTGAAGCACGCAAGGGCGGCTTCGGCTTCTCAACCTTCTGGCCGAGATCGGTGTTCTTTTTCAGATCAGAACTTAAAAGGTTCTCCAAAAAGTCATCCACCTCCAGCAGAGAACCTGGGTTGTCCTTCTCCACTGTGGGGAGCACCTCCTGAGGCCTGGAGAGGGTGGTGTGGAGGTAGAAATGCGCGGTCCCAACATTGTCCCAATAAACAATGATCAACAAGATCATGAAAATGGAGCCGAGGACCACTGAGAGACGGAAAAGTCGTGCGTTGGTCATTTTGCCAAGTGGGATCTTCAGCTACTTCCTACAGATCTCATCTCCAACTCAGTGGAAAACCTCTGGAATCCAACATGGCCTTGATCAATGGTCACCACCTGCAAGGGGTACAAGCACAATGTGAGTGTTCTTTTTCGTAAACATTAGAGAATACAGAACAGGTCAGCCTTTTTCAGCCTAACCTCCTAAAGACAGCCAATGAAATTCTGGAGAATCGGTTGGTATGAATGGGTTCCTGCTTGTTCTTTGAGTTTGGCTGTTTTTGTGCAGATGTTTCATTACCCATCTAGGTAATATCTTCAGTGGAATCTTTGGTGCTCTCCGGGCTTGGTGGTTTTCCTGCAGATGTTTCATTACCCAGCTATGTAACATCATCAGTGCTAGACGGAAATGGAGTTCGCTCTGAGTGCGTTCCCTTCTAGCACTGACGATGTTACCTAGTTGGGTCATGAAATGTTTGCAAGAAAGCAACCAACCTCAGAGACCACCAAGGACCCCACAGTTCTCCTCCTCCTCCCCCTCCTCCTCCCCTTCCTTCTAGCATTGATGATGTTACCTAGTTGGATAATGAAATGTCTGCAAGAAAACCACCAAGCTCAGAGAACACCAAGGTTCCCACAGTCCTCCTCCTCCTCTTCCTCCTCCTCCTCCTCTCTACAAATCTCCCTTCTAGCATTGATGATGTTACCTAATTTGATAATGAAACATCTGGAAGAAAGCCAGCAAAGGACACCACAATTCAACCAGTTTAACCCTGGATTATAAATATTCTCTTCCATTGGTAACATTTTCAGTGCTGCACTGATGACGCTATCCAGCTGGGTAATGAAATGTCTGCATGAAAACAAGCAAGATCAGAAAGCATCAGATTCAACCCTCAGCTACAGAGAGTCTTGTTATATCTATTTCAGTCTGCAGCTCACCTGATATTTTAAAAGGTGGACCAAAAACCAAAATAGAGTAGAACCCATTTCAAACAGTTGTAGATACACCTTGTATTAAAAAAAAAATCCATGCATGGTATTATTTCTCTGGCACTATCACCCTAACCCAGAATTGATTTTTCCTGTTCCATCTGTCTTCAGAGACCAAAGTTCATCTCTCTTTCCCTGGGGCAATTTTGTTTTATCTCAGTTTCACTGGTTTTTATTGACAGCCCTTTTCAGAGCTACTTCTCACAAAAGTGAATTTCCCCTCCAGAGATAATGTGATAACCTTTCCCCTTTGACAAACACGATGGCCACAAATTGGAATTGGCAGCACCGATTCATTTCTCCTGTTTTGAAATATCTCAGCTGGCAAATGGATGAATTTCTGAAATACAATCAATCAACCGAGTTTGGAAGTTTCTGTTCCTTGGGTAAAGTCTAAGTATTTATTTCAGAAACTGGTTCTGAAGTCCTGATTTCTTAGGACCTTCAGCCAAAAAAAGAACGAACGCTACAAAATGTTTCTAGGTTTGTTTTTTTTTTTTTAATCCACCAGCTCTCCAGGATAAGGAAAGTTCTTCACAAAAAACCTTTCCTTTCACACCAAAAGTGACCCACGTGCTTTGTCATGCAAGAAATGCCTACCCCAAGTCTTCTCCTTCTTGCTGAGAACTTTAAGACTTGTGGTTTTCAACTCCAGGAATTCCTCATGCTGGTTAAGAAATTCTGGGAGTTGATCGCCAACATGATCGCCAACGTCCAATAACGGATATGGCACAAGAAGAAGAAGAAGAAAGGAGTTGAAGTCCACAAGTCTTCAAGTTGCCCAGTTTGGAGACCCCTGACCTTAGAAAAAGGAGACCATGTGAGGATCAGCTGCCTCCAAGAAGGAAATTTCTTTGAAATTTCAAGACATGCCAAAGAATTGAAGTTTCACAATGCTCGGTTTGACTGCAGGGCGAAGTTTTAAGCAAACAGCAACGTAGTCTTGTTCCTGATCCTTTTTCTGTCTCCTTTGGAAGACTAAAGAAATCCAGCTTTTCCCTTCTTTATCCCTAAATCTTTACAACAATTCGGCAAAAGGAATCAAGAACAGATTGAGCACCAACTGCATGCAGGGTGATCCAAAGCCTTTCTGGAAAGCAAATAAATCAGCACGGAGAATGCTTGCTGGAAATAGGGCGTGCCTTGCAGCTTCTCAAGAGGGTGGGTTCTTACAAAACCATCTGTAGAATTTGACAGGAAGCAAAGCAGACATGGCAAATGCTCTTTTCAGGATGAGATGGAGGGAAAAACACGTAAACAAAATAAAAGTGGAAAATTGTCTGTTCACTTCGAGAACGAGTTGATCTTGATTGCATCTCTGGATTTCGCCCTAACTTTAAAACCAACAACACACATAGTCTGAAGTTTCACAGATCCAAGATTTTGGGGGTGTCTCTTCCTTGCCCGGTTATTGTCTGAAAGCGTGCAACGTCACACGCCCTTCCTGCCTCAAGCAGAGAAAAGAACCAAGTGCCAAATTTAGCATCCGACTGTGGGCTTGTTTTTAGAACAATGACGTTTTGATGGCTTACTGGCCAATGGTCAGCTAAAGGTGCATTGTGCAGGCTCTGAAACTTCAGGAAAGCAAAACGGATCAACATTGTCCAAAGCAACAGAAGGCAAGACAAGAAGCAATGGGTGGGAACTAACCAAGGAGAGAATCAACCTAGAAATAAGAAGAAACTTCCTGACAGTGAGAACAATTAATCAGTGGAACAGCTTGCCTTCAGAAGTTGTGGGTGCTCCATCACTGGAGGTTGTTAAGGAGAGACTGGACAGCTATTCATCTGACATGGTATAGGGGTCTCCTGCTTGAGCAGGGGGTTGAACTAGAAGACCTCCAAGGTCCCTTCCAACTCTGATGATATTTTATGTTCTGCTGCAGGATGAATAGGGGCCCATTCAAGATATCCATGGAAATAATCAATAGACCACTTTTGACCAAGGAAATTTCCCTTTTCTTGGCTAGAAACTGAATTCCATCATCACAGAAGGCTTGGGCCAATCTGAGGTGACTCATAAGAGGTTGCACATTAAAAATAGAATTTGAGGAGGACTGGGAGGATTTTTGTCAACAAGCAAAGCAAAGTGACCAATTATTTGGTATTCTGGGCGAGCTCAACTGAACCAAGAAGTGTTTGATTCACGGAAAGCCACGGGGGAAAGCGTTGCAGCTTTTTCATTCGTTCCCTGGAGAAGCTGGAAATACATCCCAGGTCTGCAAGGGCATTTGCACTTAGCACGGAAAGCCACGGGGGAAAGCGTTGCAGCTTTTTCATTCGTTCCCTGGAGAAGCTGGAAATACATCCCAGGTCTGCAAGGGCATTTGCACTTAGTGAGGTAAGTTGGATGGAAAAAAGAAAATCTGGAGCAGAAATTTGCCAAAGGCGTAAAAAACCACTGAGACCCAGGACTGGGTTCTATGCAATGCAGTTTAATCTGTCTTCTTGTGTCTTGGGATCCATCTTCAACTTGTTCGCTAAGATGACTGACACAAGCTACCGTGACGTGTCACGGTAGCAGCTGAATGACATCATGATGGAGATGTTGTTCCTTAACTCTGTTTATTTATTGATTTCCCACCTTTATTATTTTTTTAAGTAACTGAAGGTGGCGAACTTATCTAAGGCTCCTTCGTCCTCCTGTTGCCCCTACAACACGGAAGGTTGGATAGAGAATGTGTGACTGGCCCAAGGTCACCCAGCTGGCTTCCATGCTTGGTGGGACTAGAACTCACCATCTCCTGGTGCTTGGTCCAAAGTCACTCAGTCAACTTTCATGCCCAAGAAGGAACTAGAACTCACAGCCTCCTGGTGATTTGCCAAAAGTCACCCAGCTGGCTTTCACGGCTAAAGCCGGAGTAGAACTCTAGCCTGCTGCCAAACCAGCTCTCTAAACCCTAACCTTATAAATGTTCCAAACTGCAGGTTTTATTTCCAACATTGGCTGAGGAATTCTGGGAATTGAAGTCCACAGGTATTAAAGTTGCTAAGGTTGGAGACCCTGATCGAAGAGCAACGTTCCGTTCAAATTGTACTTCTCCAGGACGCTATTCCTACTGTCCCAAGCGCTGGAGAGCCAACCCACTTAGAACATCACCCGAAGTCTCCAAAGACAGGGTGAATACATCCTGACACATACAGCTTTATGTCTGATCATTCCCTCTTCCCTCTGTCACAATCCCCATGTACAAAGACGACAGGAACTGTGATGAAGCAACCTCTACCCCACCAATGGATGATGGAGCGTTACAGCTGCGTTGTGCATAACATTTCGGCAGGAAGGGCTAGAACAAGCTCTAGACTTCCTCCTTTTCATTTCCGGAAAGACATGCAGACACCCAGAAACTCAAAACTGAGAATTGAGCAATCTCAGCCAGAGATGCAACTGGTTTAGCTCAGGGATGTCCAACCTGGTCAATTTTAAGACCTGTGGACTTCCAGAATTCCCAGTCAGCCAATCTTGGCACCCCAGTCGGACCTTTCATTTCCTGTATTTTCCAAGCAACCAAGTCTGGCCTTCAGGATCTGCCAAAGACAGTGAGGGCGAACCCATTCTATTAAGCCATTGTGTGCTTTGGGGTAGCACAATGTGGGGAGCCAGCCGGCCAGGTTTACGAACCATAATCTGGGGCTTAGATCTTAACTCAGCTATTGTGGCATGTCCAGGGTGCAAGGCTGCAGCAAGCCATGGCTTTGCATGGTGTGACCGCAGCGCCTTATTCTCTGGCTATTCCAAGCCTAACCAAGGTTGTGTTTTCACCAGCAAGGGAGCAGACCAGCTTGACCCAGCCTCCTGTGTTTTATCACAAGCTAGCTTTGTGCCACGGAAGCCTCCACCGCAAGGCACAACCACCCCACACAGGCGGGTATCAGGATGCCACCGGCTCTCGCCACCTCCAACAAGCACGGAAGGTGCATTACTCCGTTGGATGAAATCATGACTCACCTGTCCTCGTTCCCCCCTCCCCCACCCTCACGGATGCTGGGAGGGAGCATCCCTTCCCCAGATCCAGGTGGCCACCAGCCAGGCCTGGGAAGGAGGGGCGCATCTGGGGGAGAAAAAGACTGCGCGAGGATGTTGAAGGGTGGCAGGGGATCTCCAAGCTGCCGCCCGCGGAAGCCCTTTTGCTCATCACTGGCCCGCCGATCAGCCTTGCCCTCCACCCGGCTGCGAGATCAGGACCCCCAGGCACCGCGGCTTGGGCGTCCGATCCAGCCCGATGCGCACCCAGGAGAGGGAACCCCACGGGAAGCGGCTAGCGCCAGGCAAGGCAGGGCGCGATGCGCTTGCCAGATGTGCCCACGTGGCCGCGGAGGGAGAAGGCGCCTCCGCCGGGGGCCGCCGCTGCATCCAGCCGCTCCCCTCTGCCCGCTGGCCGGTCTCCCTTGCCCACCTGCGCCCGGCATCCCCTCGCTCACCTCCGGCCCGGTCCTTGCTGCCTGGATCGCGCCTCGGCCGCGCGTCCCGCTTTCTTTCTCCGGCCAGCCCGGCCGCGGCTCCTCCTCCGGCTGGGGCTGCGCCGCCCCTCTCGCGAGAAGCCCGGCCCGGCCCGGGGGTCTCCCCGCCCGCCGCCGCTGCTCCCCCTGCGCTGCACTGCCCGGACGCGCAAGACTGAGCCTGCCTGCTTAAGCTTGCGCTGCGCGGATGCTGGCGGGCTGCTCTCCGGAGGAGAGGCGGGGCGCGCAGGAGAGCTACGGCTGCAACGCCCGGGCTTCGCTCAGGTCCCCGCAGTTTTCTTGCAAGGGGTTGGCCCTTCTTCTCCTCCCCCCCACCCAGGGCTGAGCGAGGGGGACCGACCCAGGGTCTACCCGCTTAAGGTGGGACTAGAGCTCTCCAATCTCCTCGTTTTTAGCCTGGTGTCTTCTGAATAGATAACTAGACTAGAGTTTGGGACTAGAACTCACAGTCTCCTGGTGATTGGCCCAAAGTCACCCAGCCAGTTTTCATGGCTAATGCGGAACTAGAACTCACCGTCTCCTGGTGATTAGCCCAAAGTCACGCAGCTGGCTTTTGTGCCTAAGGTGGGACTAGAACTCACCGTCTCCCAGTTTCTAGGTGCTTGCACCAACTTGCTATGACTCTTTAGCTCCCCCCTCCCCTCCCCAAGAGAAAAACACGATCAGGCCCTTGATTTGCAAACCCATTAAGAGAACATAAGAAAGATTGGTTGAGTCATACACTTTCTGTTAATCACAAGTTTATCTATCGGTGCAGATGTGGTTTCCTTTTCAGTGAGGCCGGAAAAAGGGCCTTAAAGTGCTCACTGAGCGTTGGGAATTTGAACCTGGGTCTCTAGTTGCCACCCACAGCAGCTAGTTGTTGTTTTCTGGGCCGTCTTTGCTCAGGAGCCCCCCCTCCCCTTATATCGTCTCCTGAACCCAGACAAAGGCATGGGGGCTTGGATAAATACAGGTAGCCCTCGACATACGACCGCAACTGAGCCCAAACTTTATGTTGCTAAGTGAGACGCTTGTTAAGTGAGTTTTGCCCCTTTTTTCACAGCCTTTCCTGCCAAAGTTGCTAAATGAATTACTGCCGTTACTGACTGAATCCAGCTTCCCCATTTGACTTTGCCGGTCGCCAAAGGGGATGACGTGACTCCTGGGACATCGCAGTGCCGTCGTAACTGTAAGTCATTTGCCAAGCGTCTGAGCGTTGGTCCAGGGGGACGCTGCAAGAGTTGCAAGTCTGAAAAAGGGCGGTAAGTCCCTTTCTTTCGGTGCCGCTGTAGCCAAACGGTCACTGAATAAACTGCTGTGAGTTGCTTACTCAGGGGTGTTAATGTGGAAGACCCCGTGCTACCTCTATGTTGGGAAGAAGGTGTGGTGTAACGGTGATGGGGCAGAGGAACATCTCTCCATCTCCTGCTTGTGAGCATCTCAGAAGCATCTGATTGGCCGTTGTGAGAAATTAAAATGGCCTTAGGTGAAAGCAGTAGAGTGGGATTCTTGTTCTCGGAACTGGGTGGGTGGCCCTTTGGTTCAGGGGCGAAAACCCAGAGTTCCTGCTACCACCATTCACACAATCCACCAACTTCTCTCCTACTGTCTCTCAGTATCTTGGGGAAAGCCAATCCTTCTGGGCTTGACTGATAACGATGGTCTCCCAGCCAGTTGCGATTATTTCGGCTTTCCTGGCTTCTTCGAGTGAGTAACGGGCTGCTGCTTCCGATATCCACCAACGGTCTCAACGGGCCCTGGGTGACAACAACAAACAAGTGGCCGGTGTGATATATTTCAGGGGTGTAGAGCTTCTTTTGTGGGTCCATCAGCAGCAAGAGGGAAGACCGGCATTGCAAAGGACTACTGTCCCCTGCCAGAAATTCCATCAAGAGACCCAAATTATTTTCCTTCTCCCGTCATAAAAAAGACTGCCTCTTTGAAGACTTCGAAGTGTTTTTCCCTCCCTCCTCCTTCCCCATTCCTTTTCCTTATATGTCATTCCAGAATGCTGCTGTGGGAAACAGAATGTTCCAGCATAATTAACACAAGTCTTCAGCCTCACAAGTTGGGAATTTGTGACCTCAGCAGTTGCTCTTTTTTTCAGCTTGAAGCTCTGGGGAATGGATTTTGCACAATATGCTATCCCCAAACCAAACATCGCACTCACAGCCTGTTCTGTTGTGGCTTTCAAGCTTAATTTGAACAAGGACAATAGAGTAGAGGGCCCCATTCATTGGCCGTCAGCTTCCCAGACTAACCTTTGACTTGTTTCTGGAGAACTTGGCCTTGGGGCTGGTTGGAGTTACTCTGCTGGATGGTGCTAGGTCCCATGTGGTTTACTATCAGGTCCTGTGGTGGGTTTTCTTCTTCCATGGAGAAGAAAAAGAGGGAAGAAGGACTTGAATGGAGACACGGTAGTTGTCTCATCTATGTGACCCTTTCTCTAGTTCCTTCAGCTCAAACTTTTTCCAGATCCTCTCCAGATTAGTGAGAACTATAACTTCCGGAATTCCCAGCCAGCATAGCCATTATCACTGCACAGTACTCAAAGATCATCCCTTCAATCTCATCCCTGCGAATCTCCTAAGGCCTAGCAGTACTACAATTATGGTTGCAAGCCAACTCAAAGAGTTAAGAAATCTACATCTCCCTACATCTCCTAAGTTTTGTTGGTCTCCAAGTTCTATTAGTTCCAGCCAGCATGGTGATTGGTCAAAGATAACGTTGTGTCCTACAAAGGTTGAGCCATGGGTTCTTCACCCTTGTTCTAGATCTCTGCAAACAAGCCCAAAGTCTCCCATTAGGTCACGTTCTACCTGTTTGATGTCCAACGGGAAAGTTGAGTTTTGTGGGAGCTGGAAAGATGTGGGAAAGATTTGCTATAGAACCATTTGGGGATTTGGCTGGTGGCCTCTGGCTTCCTGGGCCATTGCTGTCCTGACTGGAGGGGGACCAGTGTTTCATCTGCAAAATCTGTAAGGAGATTTTAAAAAAAGATATTGATCCAGACTGTATTATTAAGATAAGGATTTCTCATAGCACTTTCATTGGGAGTCCTCCCTATTGATTGTGATGTAACCATGGTTCTTCATCTGATGTACCTTCATCTGATGGTGTAGCCACCATACCTTCATCTGAATTGTAGGTCCATGATATGCTCATTCTTTGTAAAGCCATCTTACCCCGGAAGAAGTAGGTTCAAGAGATCCCTTCTTCTCTGTTTTCCTTTCCCAAAATGCTTCTTTGTCTCCTTCATTCTCAACCGGGTGGTGTGTCCAAACTTTCCTCTGGAACATTCCTCCAAGGCCACTGATGGTGGCCATGCCTTTGGAGCGATATTCTGGGGTGAAAATAGTCTGCTGCGATTCCATCTTCTCCTCTCCCAAATAGTGTGCGGAGGAGATCTTCCTGCCAAGATCTTTCTCCTGTACTTGGGAGCGACGGCAGGCGGCAATCAAAGCAATCTGTTTGGTGCTGTCAACCATCTCCTTCAATGTTTTCAGAGTCAAGGGGACACTGAGGGCATCTGCCCTGGAATTCTTCCGACCGGAATCTTGGGAAGATGGAGAACGTAGCTTGGAGGCAACCTTTCGTGAAGGGATTCCTGAAGTCTTCTTCTAGAAATCAAAGTGGTTACAAAAACAACATGTACACAGGTCCCATTCAAAGGATAGTTACTCTGCAAACCTGGTTGATGATGGACCACGGATGTCATTTATGACTTCCCTTGATATTAAACCATCTAGGATTTCCCCAAATGTGCCACTAGATTCCTGCAAACCATTAGCTTCTTGAAATTGCTTTTTGTGATTCAAGCAATCTTCTCCAGGGTGAAGTCTCTGCCTCAACTCCTGCTCCCTTTCTCCAGCTGTGGGGTCAGAACTTCACCAGCCTTGCTTGGCACTGACTTCATCGCTTGCAAGGCTGACTCTCTCATAATAAAAATTGAAGTGCCCCCTTTAAATAACAGAGGTTTGGGAAGGGAGATAAAATGGCATTGGATGCCCGGTTCCTTAAGCTACAAAGTCCCCTAAAATGCATTCTGAGTTTCTCCTTTTTGTATTGAAATAGTTGAAGGATCTATCTGTCCTCCACTTCACCAGCTGATAGTTTTTTGATCTTTCCTTCTTGCTCTTAATCTTGACTTTTGCCTGTTCTCTACCACATAGCTCTTTCTGAAAGACTTGGCCTTGCCATAAACCAGGGGTCTCCAAACGTGACCACTTTAAGCCTTGTAGACTTCAATTCCCAGAATTCTGGGAGTTGAAGTCCACAAGGCTTGGAGATGCCAAGTTTGTAGACCCCTACCATAAACGATGGCATCTACCAGCTCCCCAAAATCCTAACTCTGACAGATAGATCCCGATGAGAATAAGAGATTATAATTCTCATTTATATGTCTTCTTTGAACTTCCAGGACAAGATAAAACAAATGCAAAGCAGAACAAGCAAAGAAGGGCTGTTGATGGACTCACCTGGTGGACCGGCGTTAACAGAAACACAGGAGGAGTGTGGTTCCATTCACGAGTCACCTTCCTTTTTGCTGGGGTGTTTTTAGAGGAAGACCGGTAACTGTCACTAAGAAAATGCAAGGTAAAACACAAACATGAAACATTGGCAGATGAGTTGGGAGATTCCTTTGGGGAAGGGGACCTAGTCATTGGATTATAGACACGGTTGAGTAAACCCAACACAAAAAAAAAAAACAAATGGAAAATTGAGTTTATTTAATTGGGGCCACAAGACATGGGAAAACCTTTTGAAGCCCTCCAAGAATAGAGGATGAAAAGTACCACCCTCTATGGGTTTACTTAGAAAGAAGTTGCGCAATGTTCTCTTTAGGAATTGTGTCCATCTCCAAGTTGATAGGTGCCATCGGAGTATTTCTGCAATTGACGTTTGCTCTGGAAAAGGACTTTTCCTCTTTTCACTAAAAGTTGTCAAAGTACCTGTCTGAATCCACAATAATGGGGGGAAGCTCAAATTTGGGCCCTGGAAGGCAAGCTTTCTTGTGATCGATGGATCCTTCTGGATTCTCCTCTCTGTTGTGATCTTGTCTCTGAATCTGTCCAGAATGGAACTATCCCAAAAAACCCCCCCAAAAAAATAAAATAAAAATGAAAGCTTAGTTTATCAGCTGATGGATGTGTCTCCTGCGAAGTTGACATTACCTAGTGTTATTTCCCTATCACTCACGCTCTCGTTTCGTATAAATAAGTAAATAACGATAATAACTTCCCCTACTCTGCTCTCCTAAGGAATCCCCATTTCAAAGAAATAGGGGAGAAATTCTGTCTTACCTGCCACGTGCTGGACATCAGCGAGTGAAGCACCATCAGGCGATCCAGAGTCCCTTTCTCTAACTCGTGACACTATAGGTGGTACAGTTTTTCCAGTGGTCCCGGGACTGGAATATTGTAGTCTACAGGAAAGACAGAACGCTTCCAGAGTTGATGGTTCCAAAGAGATGGCCAAATTCCTTGAGAAACCAAGCATGTAATGTGACTACAAAGATAAGGGTGATGTAGCAGTAAAATCCCCTTTGGAGAGCCATGACTGCTGTCTCCAGTGCAATGTGGCTGGAAGCTAGAGAGAAGCATGATCAGGGAAAGCTCTTGAGATATCAATTGAGGTCCTCCAGTCCTACCTTTGATTAGGGACCATTGCTGTTGAATAAGCTCTTCAGAGAGATGCCGGTATTGCTGATGGTGCTGGATGATGAAGTCCTTCTGGCAGAGCAGATTGTCCTTGTACAAAGCATTGGCTTGAAGCTCCGTCTTCCCCACTTCCAGCTCGTGGGTCTTGCACAAGAGGCTCAGAACTTCCCGTTGGTCTTTGCTGGTGGTTTGTTTGGGGAGCATCCTCTCCATCTGGGAAACTTTCTCCTTGGCATTTGCCAACCTCTGTTCCAGGTCAGCCTAAATTAGGAAAGGAGAACTTGGAAGTCTCTGTTGTTTCCACCACTGGATGATGGGAACAAAGTTCTCCTCCATTTCTGAAGGGTGGTCTAAATCTTGAGAAGGTTTCAAATGCTAAAGGGAGAAAGGAGCTGTTATTATTTTGACTCCATTCCTTTGATGTGGCCTGGAATTTACGTCTACAACATAACAACACCCAAGATGAGGCATCAACATTCAACTATATCCCCAGCAAACCTCAACTAACCCATTTTGAAAGTCAGTTCTTTGGGAAATAAACATTTGATTCCTTAAACAATAACATCATCATTAGATATGTCAGTAAATAAGTAGTGCATTTTTTTCATTTGATGAAAACTGCTCCCCATATTTGGAAAGTAATGAAAATAAGAAGAAGGGGGTCTCTGTTGACATGCACGCACACCGAGCTTAGCTGCAGAATTCTGAGCCAGCTGCGAAAGTTCCTTCCTGCCATTACCTTTAAGGTAGCCGTTTTCCGCTGCTCTGCCACCAGTGTGCTTATCTCTTCCCTGGCAATTGTGATCTCCACAGGTTCCAGGAAATCTTCCTGGTCAGCCACCTCATCTTCCTTTTCACTTGGATGATGTATTTTGGCACTTCGGCCAGCTTGGCGAACTCTCTCACGTTCCCAGCTGGAAGGAAGGAAGGAAGGAAGGAAGGAAGGAAGGAAGGAAGGAAGGAAGGAAGGAAGGAGGACATTGTGACTAGATCTGTTCCAGGCTCAGAACGTGGAGGTCTACATCAGTTCTTTTTTAGTTGGATACACTTGAGTTGACTTCAGTAGTCTTAATTACAATATGTGATTGTTCTCCAGTTCTGAATGACCAATTTTCTGAAAGGAAACTTGGCAACCATTGTTGATTTCTCCTACAAGTGCTCCATTCAACTGTGACGGATCGAAAGAATCATTGTTTTGATCTCAAACACCCTACTGCTTGTCTAAATTTCTCTGCTTAAGCATATCCAGTGACCTGGACCCCCTTGTCTTTATCTGGAATCTGCTTCGCTGGGATTTCCCCTCTCATTCTAATTCTGCTGTCCCTCAACAAATTATAGATAGGTTGCAAAAAAAAAAAAAAAGGTCTTTTGGCTCACTCTGCAATCATGAGAAGGTGCCTGGAGGTATCTACGTGGAGTTCCATGTTGGTATTCTCCAGCTCCATTAAGCTGCGCCGCATGTCCATCTGTTCCTTGAAGGCCCCCACCAGCTGTTTTTTTAACTTCTGCAACTGTTGATGGCCATCCTCCTCAAAGTCCAGAGGAGTCTCCCCTGAGGATGACATGAAGGGAGACCTTTCTACCCCCTCAACTTTTAACAATTTACTTTTGAAGCTAGTTTCTACCTTCAATCTAGATCAACCTTGACAGCTTTAAGATGGGTGGACTTCAGCCACCCAGAATTCTGGGACTTGAAGTCCAGCTATCTTAAAGCTACCAAGGTTGGTAAACACTTCTCGAGAATGAAATATTATACACACTAAGTATAAACCCTGGTTAAACAGAATCAGGGGCGCAGGTGGCACAGCAGTTAGAGTGCAGTACTGCAGGCCACTTTAGCTGACTGTGTTCAGCAGGTCAGCAGTTCAAATCTCACCGGCTCAAGGTTGACTCAGCCTTCCATCCTTCCGGGGTAGTTAAAATGAGGACCCAGATTGTTGGGGGCAATGTAAATATATATATACATTGCTTACTGGTGTACACCGCTTAGAGAGTGCTTGCACTTAAAGCGGTATATAAGTCTCATAAATAAATAAATAAATAAATTTCCAAGGAGCCATTTCGGGCTAACCCTCCAATTTTTTTTTTCAAAGAAGTTGTAATTTTGCAAAGATGGTTCCCTTTGATCTTCCTTCTCGCTCTTTTCCATGTTTTTCTTAGCAACTCAGAAATATAGGAACTGTTTTAAGAAAACCACATAGTGATTTAGTGCGGAGAAGAGGCCAAAATTTCACCTTGACCTTGTCCGTCTTTGGCCCCAGTGCTCAAGAGATGTTTCTCCTTCTCCTCGTTTTCAACCTTGGCCTTCAAGCATTCAATCTCACGCCGGAGATCAGAAATGATGCTGGTATACTGAGCAATATGGTAAGAGACGTTGAGAAGATTACGCTTTACCTGTTGATCAAGCATCCCAATAATACTAATTAATATTAAGGAGAAGAACAACAAGAAACCAGATTGGGAAAAAATCATGATATTGATGATGCTCTGAGGCTCTTTAGCTCAAACTTCTGGGTCTGATCTCTCTTTGGATCCATGGTCCATTGAAACATATGTACCACACCTAGTAGCAACTGCCAACTGGATTTTCCTGAAAGTGGGGCCCTCAGAAATGAGGAAACTTCCCTATGGAAGGATGATGCTTGTAGAGCCCCCATCTTTCCAAAATTATTACAAAATAAAAGTTCTCTCCCTTGCGTTCAGATACCTACAAGTCTACAGGAGAATTCTGCTTGCTACCTGTAAATGGGTATGGAGGTAACCTCAAAGAAAGAAAGCACGAACGGTTAAGTAAACATCAACTTAGCCCCAGGAAAGAAGAGCAGGTAAGAAAGAAGTTTAATATAAATCCACTTTGATTCTGTTTTGTATGCGATGGAGCAGAAGGATAGTCTGGCAGGTTTTCAAAAGCCAGTTATACCTTCTAAAGTAAAGCTAAGAGTTCTAGTAATCTTTGCATTGTCTTTGCTCAGATCTGGCCTACCTTGAAGGCTTGGCAGTTAGTTCAATTAGTTCGTTCTGTAATGTCGGAAATCCAAATCAATTTTGATTTAAAGGTAAGCAAGCATTGGCGTCGTTGTTCTTGGTTCTCCTGGTTATCCTTAGATTGCCAGTTTTGGGATGTCAGCCACCAGCACTTGTGCTTGTTCGTTTATTCATTTTATTTTTATCAATTTATTACATTTCTGACCTGCCCATCTTATCTGAGCCAGAGTTCCCCAACCTTTGGGGCACCAGGGACCGGTTACATGGAGAAAGGTTTTTCCACGGACCAAAGAGTGTGTGGTTTTGTGTGCTGCCTGCATTCCACAGATGGGGCTTTGCTTGTTTGTGCGGACTGGTTGCTGGCATGCTGTGGTCTGGTACTGGTCCACAGACTGGGGGTTGGGGTCCCCTGATCTAAGCGACCGTTCTTTCTCTATTTTACCCTTGTTTTGATGTTCTTGGCTCGATAAGCGTACATCAACGTTGTCCGAGATTCTTCAAAGCAGGTGCTGGCAGGGCTGATGTGGGCGATCATAACTGTCCTGCTATTGCCTCCTAGAGAATCCTAAAGAGATAAGATTCTTTTTTTTTATTGAAAAGTTTTATAAAAATTACAGTATACACCCCAAAACCCACTCACCCTAAACCCCCCCTCTCCCTCCCCAACTTCCCAGAGCTGAGTACAGCGTTACAAATATAATATTCAAACTCTAACTAACATTAACCAACTATATAAATAACCAAGTCCATAACGCGCTTTAACGCCCCTTTAACATAGGTATAAACAAATTAAAAATAAACATAATAACATAAACAAGTCAATATTATTAAACAAAACAATATCCAAATTGTTAAACAATACTAATACTAAAAGAGATAAGATTCTTGTGAGTATCTCAGAGTCAACAAAACTGAATGACATCCATCCCTCTGGTTGAGACAGCAAAGGAGACTCCCTGGGACATCTTTTACCAAGAGTATAGATAGCTTCGCGGAAAATTCCATGGCGGCCCAAGAAGTGGAAAAAACCAATTCTAACATTTTTGCGTGCAAAAACTATCGTATATCTTCTCATCTTTTTCCTACCTCCAAGCAACCCAAAGCATCTAGAGGTGAGTACAGGTATCCTTCACAGGTGGCTTGTTACCTTCAGCAAACGGGTCAGTTTGCTGTCTCGGAAATTGATGTATTGAGTTCGGCTTCCCCCCTTTTCGCTCAGCGCATTGATGCAGTTCCCCAGAGCAAGGAGGGACCGGTTGATATGGGCCCCCTCCTTCATCCTTTTGCCCTGGTTTTGGGTCTGTGGAGACGGAAAGAAGAGGTTAACTTTTGCACCAGGAAAAACACACACACACACACACAAGAATGATTTAGCGGTAGATGGTGTAGGACATTTGGTGATGAAAAGTTCTCTGAAAATCAGATAGGATCGTTTTAATGCAGGGTTTCTCCAAATCCCTCTTGAAAGGTGAATTTTAACTAGACGTAGGAAGCCATACATACTCCTCTTAGTAGATCCTTATTGACCGAACAGTTGACTCTTCAGTATCCAAATACGTGCCACGGCCCTCAGTTACAAAGCTTGTGATCAGAGCAAGAAGAAGGAAGTTTAGAGAAGGCCGTATTAAGCCAGGACCACTGAGAGGTGGAGTATTGATAGCATGGAATATTTGTAGCTCAGGGTTGACCTGTGGGGTCCTTGGTGGTCTCTGAGTTTGGTGGCTTTCTTGCAGATGTTTCCTGATCCAACTAAATGACATTATCAGGATTAGAAGGGAGTCGGGTGTGTGGAGTGGAGGGGTCCTTGATGACCAAACTAGATAACATCATCAGTGCTAGGCAAGGTCACTGGGCAGAGAATTGAAGAATGGTTGACCTCACCTGAGCAGCCCTTTCTGATCCAGCCAGATCAACCATGAAGAGCTTTCCGACACACACTTCCTCACTGATGCCTTTCACTCGAGTGGTCTGCTTCACGGACACTTGCAGGACAGCATGTGACCGTGAGGAGGTCTTGTTAGCAGCCGTGGGCTCCTGAGTACGTTCCTTGTTCCCTTTGGTCAGCAACTCCACAATCTTTAAAACACAAACAGGTCTCTATGTCTACAAAGACAGGACGATATTTGAAAGCCAAAGAACCTGCTGGAATCCTTAGGAGACCCAGATAATCTTGTTCTTAACTCTGATTCATCAGAACTTAGAAAAAGTAGACTCTTGAATGTTCATGGCAAGTCTTGACTAGAGTTAGAACTCCGTTTGACCCCAATCTTCCTTGGACTGTTTGGATCAACTAGAGAGAGAGACTTCTTGCAACAGGCTTAATTCCTGTGTACTGCTTTCTTGATGATACCTACTTCCTGGGCATTTGTCGTTGAGACTTCTGTCATTCCTGCAATCTGTATGCACCCTTTGGAATCTTCTCTCAGCTCAAGATAGCCTGTGGATGGATTCAGGAGATCACGGATAATTTCATTATAAACCTGAAAGCAAAAGGGGAGAAGCGAGGACACTAAGCTGCCTCTTTGCCCATCTGGTTCAAAACTGCTTACTAAAGCTTGGTATTCATTCCTCCAGAGTCTGGATCTTTCCCATCAGTTGCTTCTGGATCCCTTTTTCTCCCTGAAAATTCAGCTGGGTCATTCTCACGTAAAGTGGGTGGAGGACCCAAGGATGGGGCTTCTCTCCTAGAGGGATAGATGTTTCCTTTTTGTGGAGAAGGGATTGGGAAGATTTGGGGTTGGTTTGATTTCATTCCTACTACCCCATCAGATGTTCCAAACTAGGTCTCTTCTCGCTTGCTAACCTCTAAATGTGGTGATCTCACCTCCAGGTACGACATGTAGACCAAATAATTCCGCTCGTCTCCTGTGGCCTCAATGGCTTGAAAAAGATCGTGGAGGGTACAGATGTATATTCCAGGTTCTGAATCCGTCCCCAGCATAGTGTAGGTTTTTCCAGCCCCTGAGAGAAGGAGGGAGGAAAGGTAGGTAGGTAGGTAGGTAGGGAGGGAGGGAAGGAAGGAAGGAAAGAGAGAGAAGGGATGGAGGAAGGAAGGAAAAAAGGAAGAGAGAAAGGGAGGGAGGGAGGAAGGAAGGAAGGGAGGGAAGAGAGAGAAGGGATGGAGGGATGGAGGAAGGAAGGAAGGAAGAGAGAGAAGGGATGGAGGGAGGGAGGGAGGAAAGGGAGGAAGGAAGGAAGGGAAGAGAGAAGGGATGGAGGGATGGAGGAAGGAAGGAAGGGAGAAGGGATGGAGGAGGGAAGGAGGGAGGAAGGGAGGAAGGAAGGAAAGAAGAGAGAAGGGATGGAGGGAGGAAGGAAGGAAGGAAGATAAATGGATATCCTCAGTTCCAGTTCCAACTAGTATGTTTTGGGTGGAATTCATAAAAGAGAGAATAATCTCCTCTCTTCCCCAATCCCAACATGGGCAAAAAGTCAGAGCTATTTACCTGTGGGTCCATAGGCAAAAATGGTAGCATTGTATCCCGAGATGACCCCTTCTATGAGGCTTTTAGTAGTGGACAAATACACCTCCTCCTAACAAGAATAATAAGGGACAAACAGGGGTCCTTTCAACACCACTTGTATTCATGCCTTTAAGCTTCTCAAGGCCAGCTACAGGTTTCAACCACCAGATTACTATATTGTGATATGGTTTGAGTTACAACTCATAGTATTTAGGCTTCTTTTTGGTGTCGTCCTTAAGCAATGACTGTAATTGAACTTGGCAATTACAGTCGTAACTTGTGATGGTCGTAAACCAGTTACATTGGGGGACAAACCCATCATCCTCAGCCATTCTGGCTAAGGATCCCAAAGCATGTCATTGTATGAACACATCTTCATGTTAGTTGTCCAACCCACCAAGGAACAGCTTCCTTGCCTCTTGTTAGGATTTTTCCATTACCAAATATTTTGACACTTTCATGGCTCAAGAGGGTTTTGCCTCTCCGGATCAACAAGCCTCATCTACTTTTTAGCACATTTCCTTAGCACCTCTGCAGTCCTTCTTCACACCCTTCACGAGTGTGAAAAGATTTTGCACTGCTTAGGTCTCTTAATGAAACTCCAACATCAACAGAGCAGAGAAGGCAGCAAAGGGCAAGTGGAAAAATCATCTCCTCCTTCTCCTTCTTTTTCTCCTCCTCCTTCCCTTCCTTCTCTCAAGTATACTATTTTTACACATATATCTGAGCAGACAATATGCCCAGCAATTCTCAAAACTATAACTCCAAACCATCCTATTAAAGAAAGCTGATATTGTTTTTGCATCATCCCACTTGAAGGAGGGACAGTGTTCTTTCCTTTCCTTTTTAATTGTAATAAGCTCCTGCTTTGTTTGAATAACCAAATGGTCGCCGTGGGGCTTTTTTTAAAAAAAATAATTTCTTTCTTCCATGGAAACTCAAAATGAGGCACGAACATGCCGAATTAGCCCCAGCAGAGTAAGCTTTCAGAGCTACTACTATATATTCATACTGGAAATTTTTCAAGAGTGGTACCTAGCATCCCCAGTAAACATGACTTCATTTCTCCAGAGTGTTCCAACTTTTAAACTTCACCGTGGGTTTAAAAGGCTATAATTTCATCCCCAGTGACTTAGAACAAAGGTACAGGATGAATACAAGAAGAAATTGAGAGCAAATTTACATCAGGAAGAGTAAAAGGCAAATGAGAGCATTTCAAGCATCTTTTTTAACATTAGAGGCAAGGGCATCCAATATAATATTTAATATACTTATAATGTACTTATAATGTATATATAATAATATAATATAATATAATAAAAATATAATATAATACAATATAATATTTCATAATCTCATTTCAGATCAAGAGGTAGATCTGTACTGATAAATGCAGATGAGGTTTTGGACTTAGATCAATTCTGAATGTGTTCTGGAGGAGAAGAACCAACACATATGTGCAGTCATGTGCAAAAGAGGTGGGCTTCAAATCCCAGAATTCCCTGGCTAGCATAATTCTGGGAATTAAAGTCCGCTCTTCTGAACGTTGCCACAGTTGAGAAACATGTGAACATCTCCTGTATTTTCAACTTCACCTCCTATTCAAATAAAATGTCTTGAGATTTACATCTGTCGAACAAAATGTAAATTCTCTCTTGGATGCTTATGTAGGAAATATCTGCAGGAGCTTCACCCAACCATCAGTTGCCTTCAAGACAGAGTAGGACAACATCCATGTTGCTCGGCTGATAGGAGGTCTTCCTAAAGTTACTAAGAAGTACATTTAAAACTAGCATGAAATAGGATTTGGAAGAGGAAAAAAAAAGAGAAACCAGTTAGATTAGCAGTTTCCAGGTTATTCAGCCAAGAAGGACCTCCTCACCTGTGTTGCTTGAGGACCAAAAACCACATCAAAAATGAATGTTTTCTCCCTTGATCGATTGGCACGCAGGATATCTTCTGGATCTTCTGATGGATCCATCAGGACCATGATCTATTTCAGAGAAGTAGATTCAGTTGTTGATAGCCATGATGCCAGCACCAAGTTCCCTAAAACCATAGCACTGGAAAGGGTTCCAGGAGATCATCCAAACTCAATCATTTGCAATTACGCTGTCCTTGATGGAGAGTGTACAGCAGTGTTTTCCAACCTTTAAGATGGGTAGAATTCAACTCCCAGAATTCCCCAGCCAGCTGGGAAAGGAGAAGCCATGTTTATTCTTCTCCATTGAAACACATCCAATAGAGGCTTTGAAGAGTTACGTCAAGGCAATTTCCCAACAAAAGCTTGGCAGCTTTGCAGATAAAAAAAATACAATTAAGAAAAGGGCTTGTGCTGTAGATTACATATCTGCATTTAAAAAAAAAAATACTGCTGAACATATGGGCACATAAATGCCCGATTTGGACAATAAATCCACTGAAAATTACAAGATGGTGTTTATCCAATTAACAGACTTGGAAAATCAAAATATTATGTCTTGCCCACTGTATTCCAGCTTCTGATTGTACAGTACTCATAGCAAATAGCAAAATGCAATTCTCCAAGGATACTAGTGGCTGACTACATATTTTGTAAATTTCTTTGGCTGGCTGGTGGCTGTTAGCTTTTACATGCAGCTGTAACTGCTTTGATGTCTTCCCCTCCCTCAAAATTACCGCTTAAATTAAACATGTTTGGCCATGGGCAAGAACCTTATATGGAAGAAGCAAAATCTCTGGAGTTGTAGGGAAAATATGAGGCCAAGCTGTATCCTGCTTCTTATTCTTATCCACCCCACCTCCCAGTTTGAGACTGTGTTGGCATGAGCTAACCGTCGGCTATTCCAGCTTGTAAATATTTTCCTGGACAGGAGGATTTATTTCCAAATAAAGCAACGAATAGCAGCCAAGCCACATTTTCCCCCTAAGAATTGGCCCTTTGGTGGCGATTTATTTTCATTTGGGGGGGGGGTTAAAAGGATGGAGGGCAGAAAAAGCTTTAAGGGCCATAGAATTGCTGAGCATGCAAGCAAAGGCAGCTCTCTTCCGAACTGCGTTTTTCAAAGTTGCCAACTTTTAAGAGGTGTGGACTTCCGCTCCCAGAATTCCCCAGCCATGATGCTGGCTGCGGAATTCTGGGAGTTGAAATCCACACATCTGAAAAGTGGTGGAGTTTGAAAAAAAAAACCATTGCTTGAGATAAATGTATTTGCAACTCTGGTGCCTAAGTAAGCTCGGAGTTACTTTTTAGAGTGAGATGGGTAACATAATTTAAATAAAATAAATATATTATTCGGGATCCAATTTCACCAGTTTCTGCAGCTTTCTTCATTTCCGTGGAACCCAGAGCCTCACCCCTCTGTTCTTCCTCCCTCACCCTCTCACCTGCTCCCCCATTCTGTGGCCAATGACCGTCGCGCCTTCCTCCAACTCAGTTGCATTGATCGGGCGAATACGGAGAGCCACCTGCAAGCGAGACCAAGAATTGGGCTTTCCAGAACTTTGGAATTCCTGCAAGGCTCACGCTTGCAATTTCTGCACAACCTCCACAGGCACAGAGGATGTTCAAGGTGCCCATTTTGGAAAAAGGGCATGTCCCCTTTCTAAGGGTGGTAGATGGATGGAATTGCCTTGTATTTCGTCACATGAACAAAGATAGAAATGGAAGTAGACCGTCAAGATGGACCATCAGGTAGCTTTGTTGTTTGATCTGGGCTCATCCTGCAGACATTTGTGCCCAGATTGGAATGGAAGCCGAGCCCGTGGGGGGCATCTTCTGTGTCAGCCCCCCTCCTCGTTTAAAAGCACGACTAACTCACAGGGATAAGGTAATGGGGAAGGACAGGGGCCATGATCCACCAGCTCTGAAGGACTTACCATCACCTGGTGTTCTTCTGTTCTCAGGTCCTTCATAGTAGCCGAGCCCCCTGAAAATCTCCTCCTCTGGGCTGCACCAGGAGACACGGAGGGTGCCAAGACACCCATCTGGCAGTCCTCAACCAAGCAATTTGCAAGAACAGGAGGAGGAACCGGAGGAGCAGCTTCCAAGGGAGGAAAAAATGGCGTTTTCCCAGGGGGTGGAGAACAGGTGATGCAAGACAGGTGCAGGGGAGGTGCAAGGAATCAGACCGATCACAAGGAAAAAGGGGTTTTTTAATCAGCCACGTTGAACCCCCTGGATTTGTTAACCACTGAAGGATGGCCTTCAAATTTGGGTGGATTGTTTGAAATCCATGACGCAGCCTTCAACTTTATTCATTAGGTGTCCCTGTTCTACTAGCAGATTTTAAGAGTGATTAATAATGCCAGCCTACAAAGCACATCTCTAGATGCGCACCAGATGCCATAATATTCAGTCTGTAATCGTTCAACAGCTCCCATTTCAAGTTAAGGGAACTTTGAAATGTTCCCTCCACACAAACTGGAACTTGACAACCTGAACTATTTGTCTGAAATGGTATAGGGTTTCCTGCCTGAGCAGGGAGTTGGACTAGAAGACCTCCAAGGTCCCTTTCAATTATTGTTGTTTATTGTTCCCAAATGGTGTAACCTCAGAATTTTGCACATCTCTGCACACGCACCCGTGATATTCCTTATGGATTTTAGCATCCCAGCGACAGCCTCAGAAAGCAGGGTAATGGGCTAACCTTAACGAACACATTGATTGGAGCAGGGATAAGCTATGTTTTTTTTAAAGACGGCAGCTTGAATAATACACGGCAAACAAGACAGCAGAGACGATGCGTGTTGGCTTGCTTTATTTCCAATGTACAACCCATGGAGAGATCCTGTCACAATCGGAATGGGAGAGTCGAGTCCATGCAGCTTCAACACAACCAGTCACCCTGGAAAGGAGAGCTGTCCCGGCTGGCCTGTCTCTGGGTCACACCGGCCCCCGTCGGTGCAGGACGCAGCAACCGTCCTCGGCAACATAAGAGCCCTGGAGTTTCCCCCAAGATCCTGGAAAATGTCTCTTGGCTGCCTTTGGGCGGGGAGCCATCCCTGATGTTCCGAGAGCATTTTAGCAGCAGCAGCAGCTCATTCCGGTGGTAAGATCGCTAAAGATTAGACTGAACTCTCCCCCATAAAGTAATACAAAATTAAAAGCAGTGCCTTTTGAGGGAGCCCAGAGGGGATCCTGTTGAAGACCAAAAGGCACTACAGTTATGTCAGAATGAATGGATCCTGTGCAGTCACCATCCAGAGAGAAAAAATATGGATTTAAAAAACTTCCAAACGTGAGGAGATCTCCTGAAAAGGAACAACTCTCTTCTCTGGACGATCGATGGGGGTGCTGTAAAGAGAGAGAAGAGGGTTACCACTTTTGGACCCGCGATTTCCCGGCCTGCCCTCTTTTTTTTTTCACGGATGGGGCCAGAGGAAGGGTCCTTACCACAGCTATGGGATTACTCGGCCTCTGCCACTGTGATAATTTCTTCATTGATAAAAAATTCAACGGTCTCCTCTTCCCAGTCGTCCACGTTGCTGTCCAGCTCGTCTGTGTCTACTCCTAGAAAGAAGGGAAAGTTCAAACGAGACCATCTGAAGACAGAACTACGCTGCTCTACGGCTGCAGTAAAGATCTGGTTTGATTTGAAGACAGAAATCTTGTTCTTCAATTGGAAAAATGCGGCCAGGGAGGGTTCTTAGCCACCTTCTCACTGCAGTCTTATGGTTTGGTCACAGAGTTGTTTTCTTAACATCCCTCTAATTCAGTGGTTCTCAACCTTTTTAATGCCGCGACCCCCAACCGGTCGTAAGTCGAGGACTACTCAACTGGTGCAGCACCGCTTGCAGAATGGGACTTTTGGCGGGCTCAGCAGGGCAGAGACAACCTGGACAATTCCTATTGGCTTTTGAAAGTCAATAGAATTAGACTCTATTCAAGAGAGTCTATTTTATTGACTTTCAAAAGTAGCACAGCTAAGGAAAAGGGGAAAAAAAATGGCGGACTGCGTTGTTTGGCGACCCCCGTGAAATGGTTGTTCGACCCCAAATGGGGTCCCGACCCACAGGTTGAGAACCACTGCTCTAATTGGATCAGTCAGGATGATAAAGGCCTGACATGAACTGTTCAATATTATATAATCCCCAACTACGCTCTCCTTCTCAAAATAAACCTGCATAATCTCGCTTTTCAGACCAGGGGCTCTGCAACATTTGGGGTACCTGCTCCCAGATCCAGGCTGGTCACGTACATTTCAAAGTTAAGAGACAACCCTAAGACAAGCCATCAGGTTTCCTGTCTGACGTACCTCCTCGGAGCTCCAAACGCTCGTTCCTCTGCTCCATGTACAGCTCCTGGGCCATCTTGCGGTATTTTTTGAATTCCTCCATCATTGTTCGCCGTCTGTCGACCAGTTCCTGTAAAAAAACGAGGGTCATTTAAACTATCCAGCTGGCCAATTGCCCAAAGCTGCGGTCCCAAATACCCGTCTTGTTAAGTATTTCCATGGAAAATGTCATCCAAGCCATTCGGCCCAGTTAAATACACAAAGGGCTGGGGCTCCACACGGTGTTAAGAAAACCAGTTAGTTCATTCCTAATGGAGGGGACGGAGGCTGATGGGGGCCAAAGTCAGTAGCAACACTTGACCCAGGCAATTTACCTTGGAGGCTTTCGATTGGCTCAGGCGATCTTTCTGTTCAAATATTTTGGAGTATCTCTTCAGATCTTTCTTGATTTGCTGCAGCAAGGAAAAACAAGAGAAATGCTTCACATCTGAAAGGGCATGTATGCAGAGATAAACCACTCTCTTCAGCCAAGGAAGGCTTATCCAGGGATGTAATTGTCACTAGCTGCTCCGCAGATCATCGGGGATTTAAATTAAGCCGTCCCTTCTCCACCTCTCTTTTGAGAAGTATTGTGATTCCTTTTTTGCAACAGCGTTCTTAAAATCCTCCAGTGGCTCCTTCCAGTGGATTTCTACCCTTAACCTCAAGGAGGCATCACCTTTATTTGATCCTGGGTGAGCAGAGTTGGCGGCCTGGGTCTCCATAACAACTGGCAGAACCGGTCTTTGTTATTTTTCTGGAGGAGGCGACCCTGGAAAGTCCACAGCCAGTAGGCATTGTCCACCTAAGGAAGAGATTTCTGGTTTGGTGAGGGCATCCAAGACAAAGCCTTCTGCAGCAGCTGGAATTCAGCATCCCAGCGCTTAGAGGGGAAAGCCAAAGCAGCCTGGCTGGCATGTAATGTGTGGAGTGTGATGTTCCATCTAGATCAAGGATGTCTAACTTTGGCAACTTTAAGATGTTTGGACTTCAACTCCCAGAATTCCCCAGCCTGTTGAAGTCCACACGCCTTAAGAGTGGCCATGGTCGGTCGTCCCTGATCTAGCAGATGAACTGATCTGGCTGCTTGCCAAGACAAAGGAATATGACATGCCCGGAATCTTTAATTTACTCAGACAGGTTGGCAAACATGGCATCCACAAGGGAAACTTCAGTTAACCACAACCAAGAAAAAAGATCAGGAGACACAGCCTCCAGGTTACCTTGTGACTCCACCAAGACACAGACGTCACCAAGTAGCGGCCGGTGGGATCCCATTCCACGTCCGAGGCTGTGTAATGCTCAGCAATGTTCATCATGGTGCAGTCAGAGGTATCCACAAAAGCTAAGGCACCATTCATGCTGAACAGAGGGAGAAAGGAGAGACAGATTATCCCACTTGCCTCCTTCGACGTTTTGGCCAAGCTGGGAAAAAAATCTCCTAGAACTTCATCTCCCTAAAACTGGGTTTAGGTTACAGACTGTGCAAGCTTCATTGGGGAGCCTCCCTCGATGGAATGTAGTGGGGAAGAAGGTTCCCAGGAGGGAAGGGGTGAAGTGGACTAAGAGGCAACTCAGCCCACAGACCATGCGTGAGAAAAATGGAGGATGAGGGCAGCCTCCCCTCAGTAGTTCCCAAAGTGTATCATAGATGCATATAGTAGAGACTTCAATCTGGCAAGGTTTGGGCTACAGGTGTGAAACAATAAAGAATTCAGTCTGGAAGATTCACACATATCATTCTTGGTTTGGGGCCTGAATAGAAATCCAGAGACTGGGATCCACGGACTTCTACATGAAGGAAACGTCAAAGGGGCCAGTGTGTTCCTACTTTTCAGGAGAAAAACCTTAGTATGTGTATTTTCATTTTGATTCTAATCACCTGAAATAAGCTACGTAGACGATCATGGAAGCGGATACCACTTTTTTTTTTAATGCTTGCAAACCAAGGTAATTATTTAAATCTTCCCCGAAGTTGAGTGCTCACCTTCTAAGCCCAGCCAACACCAGAAACTGTCCTTGAGGGCTCCAGAATATCGTGTTTGCCTGCTGCTTGTCAAAGATTTCTGAGATAAAAATAAAAATACACGGAACTGATTCGACTTTCAAATAGTGGAACAGACAAGGTAGAGTAACAAGGCTGGAGTCATTTCCGGCCCCCTGCTGAGGCTTAACATCGGAACATAGCAGCCCAATTTGTCACCACCCATCAGGCAGTTCTCTGTTTTAATCAGATGCTCGAACTATTTAGCAGATTCAGAGGTTTAATTTATGCCAGCAGTGTCAAGACAGTGCTGAAAACCCACCGGCATGTAACTACAAAAACCCACTTCACAGAAAGCTCCATTTTCAACTGTATTATGCCACTGTTTCCCTGCCCCACTTGGGCCCAGATAATTCACAATGCAAAAGTATGCCAACACTAGTATTCAGCTGGGGAGTGGTGAGGGATGTTGTGGAAAATGCTTTCTTTTAGCTAGCCCGTTTATACACCTTTAGGATTTTAGGGTAATAACCAACTTTATGTACCTGGGAGCAGGATGTCAAGAAAACAAGGAACAAAATAAGAAGCAACACACACACGCACTCTGAAAAATGGTCCCCGTTGCATTTTGCCTCCGTTGAAGATCACAACAAACTCAAAAGCAGCACCACACTGAGCGTATGCAAATTCCACTTACTAATAAGCTCTATTTTCCCATTGTTCTTCACGTGATAGAAAGAACAGGATATTCGGGGCGTCTCTCCATGCAGCACAGCAAACTTGCTTCCGTTTGGCTCCCAAGCAAAGGCTATGATGCTCTCTGCAAGGCAGGAAGACCCTGTCAGTTGGGACTAGAGACCCTCTAAGCCTCTAAGTGAGGCATCGCAGGCACTTAGGGTGGAAGAGGCAGAATGTGTCGTCTGAGGGCTTAACCATTACACCAGTGGCTCAGTTCAAAATTCTCTACGCAAAGCAACAAAGACTCCACACCTGCCAGATCTAGTGGAAGATAGCCAATTGTCCCTCGCTAAGACATAAACCAGATATGCTGCTAATGGCTGGCAAGTTGTTGCAGAAGTAAAGCGTGTTGTGTTAGAGCCGTGGTGGCGCAGTGGTTAGAATGCAGTATGGCAGGCTGACTCTGCCCACAGCCAGGAAGTTTGATCCTGATCGGCTACAGGTTGACTCAGCCTTCCATCCTTCCGAGGTCGGTAAAATGAGGACCTAGATTGTTGGGGGCAAATAGGCTGACTCTGTAAACTGCTTAGAGAGGGCTGTAAAGCACCGTGAAGCGGTATGTCAGTTTAAGTGCTCTTGTTATTGCCATATTGAATATGCTTTACTTCTGATGTATCTAATATACTCTAAATCACTTCTTAAAGGTGCAAGGAGCAATTCAGCTGGGAAGACAGCAAGCATGATTGTTTGGGGAAATCTTGCACCATTGCACTGAAGCTACAGAAAACGAGCCCTTTTTACCTTTCATTTCCACCACATCAACCGGAACCTGTTTCTCTCTCATGCGGAAGATTTCAAAGTTGGTCACCACACCCTGGGATGGAGGAAGCAAAGCATGATTGATCCAAAGGGGGACTTCGCCAAGAATTTTATCCTTGAGAATAACGTGTATCACAAACTGTTTATCTAAAAGAGCACAATATGTAAGTAAATAGGGCTCTTATGAAGACAAAAGCTGAATGACGTATTGGACTTGAAAAGAGGGCTTTCGTCAGATACAAGACACAACGAGGGAGTCACATCTCAGGCCTGTGCTGAATGGGACTGGATGATTGCAGAAAAGGATTGTTTAACACCAAACACCAAAAACTAAGAGTCACGTGATCCCATTTTGGATACTTGGCAACCAGCCTGGATTTGCAGCCGTTTGCAACATCATGTGAATGATTTGCGACACTTTTTACTGGACGCTGGTGCTTGCTTCCAATTTTTGGCAAAGAAACCCTTTGAGAATATGGTTTGCTTAACGATCGTCGAAATTTGCTTAACAACCACCACAAAAAATGTCATGCGATGATCCACTTAATGACCAGCGTAAATTACATCTGTTGATTCCAGGCTCCGTTCAAGTCCTAAGTCAAAGACTACCCGTAATAATTAAGGGAACCTTAGCATACCCCAAGAGGAAGCAAATATTCTCAGTTTTATCAGTCTGCTTAAGGAGCAAATACCTGGGTGCCTTTCGGAGTTCTGTCCACTTTCACACAGAGGTAATCCCCGTTCTTCTGCCAATGGAGTTTGCAGTCCACCACGTTGAACAGGTTGCGTACTCGGATCTCCTGCCGGGAGGGGAGCTGCATCAGGGTCACCCTCGCCGGGATATCTTTGTCTTCAGGGACCCAAAAGGCAATTATGTTTCCTCCTGGGGACCAGGAGAAGTCACTGAGGGGTGGTAAGAAAGAGGCATCTCAAAGTTGAGAAGACGCATTCCAAAACAGCCACCCAACCCATACTGTGAAATCTATTTCTCAGGGTTTGGAAGGGGGGGGGAGGAGCTCCTTTTTAGGAAAGGCACCGACTTTGTCATACAAGCAGAATCAAAAGGAGAGCACTCACCTGATACCTGTGATTTTCAAACTTTTCTTATCCAGCAGGCCCATGGACTAGAACGGAAAAAAAAGACAACGTAACGAACCTGCAACTCACACCGAGATGATATTTAACATATAGACATTTTCCCACTAGAAAGGGATACTCTTAAGGTCCCAAAAAACGTTGGTGTACATCCCTGAGCCTGGGAATGCCTCTATGAATTCATTTATATCTAAAAATAAATAAAAGGATTGGGCGAAAGGGTCACGAAAGGGAAAAGAGAGGGAGGAAGACAGAGCTAAGCAGGCACTTTTTGTGTTCATGCTTTTGGGTTAACATGTGATCAGACTTACAGGTGTCTCGTAGATGCTAAGAGTATCAGATGTCATCCGGGCAAAGAATTTGCCATCGTGACTCCACCTGAGCAAGACAAATTCCAAAGGTTTAGAGAGAGGGGCTCTTACATTTCCCAGCAGTCAAAGTGTAGCCCAATCGTTTTTACAAACATACTTAAATATGGGCCAGTGGGCGGAGCTCTCACAGTGGAACCCTCGTTTCTTCTGTCCAGTTAGGATATCCCAAATAATGATGGCTTGAGGATCATCCTGCGTGTCCATCAGGGGGCTGAACGTTACCAGGTATCTTCAGAAAGACAATAAAATGGATTGCAGGAATATAAATGCTACGATCCATTTAATGCTGGTTTTAGCAGGCAGGATTACTTCAAACAACCAAGAGTCGGCATCAAAGCAAAGCTTTTCATTCAGAAAAAACAACACAGGTAGACAACAATTGAGCCCAACATTTCTGTGGTTATTTGAGTTTTGCCTTGAGCCGGTCTGGATCGAACTCTTGGCAGTGGGCAGAGTCAGCCTGCAATACTGCCTTCTAACCGCCAAGGCTCTTTGTTAGAGATTGAGAAGAGATACAATTCAAAGCAGTCACCTATCTAGAGTCAAAATTCTCCATAAAGAACAATGCATGGTGCGACATCCCCAGCTGCTTTAATCTTTTTGCACACAAAGCCGATAGGCACGATGCCAACAGTTAAGCATCTCAGACCTTGCAGAGCAGACTGGAGTGATTCCAAACAAATCACGGTACAGATGCCTCCGTGACCAGTTCATCTTCACCACAAGGTTATTATAACCACAGTTAAACGATCAAGGCAAGAAGCTCAGGGGGTGCCAAGAAACTGGGAACGTAAAGAGATTTCCATACAGGAGAACGTAAAGAAAGCAAACATTACACACTCCAGCATTTTGCAATCCAGCGACAATCTATCAACAAGCAAGGGTGTTCGGTCTTCTGAAGCGCTGACCGCTAGCTAATTTTCAGGAATACCTTTCGCAAGGTGAGAAGTCAATGAGCTGCACCCCCTGGTGGCTGAACCGCTGGATCTGCTTGAATTTCTCTCCACCCCACAGAGCAATGCCCCTCTGATGGAATGTAGCCAGGTAGGTCCCCTTTGGAGACCAGCGCACGTAGGTTTCTGTCCATCGCTGCGGGAGGAGAAACCTAGATTAATTGGGCCCAACTACATTTAAACACTGAAGTATAGGCACATTTTATTTCCAAAACTTGGCATGGAATTTTAAAAATTCTATTTTAATAGGAAGGGCACCAAAATCATTTGCCAGAACTGCCCTTATCACAGTTAGCATGTTAATTTTGTAGATAATTTAGTAGAAAATTGGATATCAAATGTAAAACAGACATGATCTGCTAAACATGATCTATTTTGGCCAAGTAGAAAATCCGTTAAATCTTGTGAATAAAGAACATCTGACATCAGACAATTTTTGCCCTTTGTTTTTCAACAAAGGTGTTCATTCTGAAAATAGGAATCATGTAAGGACGAAACACATTTTCTCTGGCAAAACCTACTTATGACTGATGAAATTCACGGCTCAGTTCAATGGCTATTATGTTCTTATCTTCTTTTGTGCATCAATTAAACCATTTAATTTCATCACAGATATGGTATTACTTCTTACAGCCGCTGGCACACAAAGCATTATCAAGAGAAACTTGCTCCAAACACTCACCGGTCTCTCTTCAATTGTAACAGGATCTTTAACATCATTCCAGTATATAGTGGTTCGATCTCCAGATTCAAAAATTACACTATACTGATCTCTACAATCTGGGTCCTCCAACCAATAGCGCAAATTCCCCTAAGAAATAATCAACAGGAAAAAAAAAGATGAAGGAGCTGCAACAAACAGGGAATGAACATTCTATTATATATAAAAAAAAATATCCTGCCAGACAGGAAACCTTGTCCCCATGACACACAACTTCTGTTGTAGCAAACCAAGTATACTCTTGCCAATTTAAAATGAATTTAAATTGTGCTGCTGATGTTTTTATTTGGACACCAACAATTCAGACAAAACTTGACAATTTCTGCAACACATCAGCATGTAAATCAGTCTTCACACACAGATACCTTGCAGGTGTTTTTTTTTTTTTTTTTTCATTTTCAGGAGTTTCAGTGTTATGTGTACAAATTATTGAGCTCATCTCTTGCTGAAAACAGAGACATGTATCATCAGAATTTGAACATTTAAGCCTCATATTGGTAATTTCATCTCTTGACGAAAATATACATTAGGGAGCTATGTAATGTTGATTAGGGCAAGATCTGTTTCTCCTACTTAGTGAGGGACGTCGTGTCTTGGGGATGTCTGGAGTGATGTCTACTTGCCATTCAGTCTTCTGAATACTTACCAGATCTTTAAATGGCTGTTTCTCTGGGATTTCCCACTCATCACTGATTGTCATGTACCTGAAAGTGCAATAAAATTGGTCACGGGTACATACTTGCATGTATGTTTAAGGAAGTCGTGGAGAGGAAACTCTACTCACTTGTCAAAGTCAGTGAAAAGATTGACCCTGAAAGTGTGCTGCTTGTCCAGCTTGTAACCATCTGTGTTTTTTACAGCATCCAGAGCATGAGTGGGAGACATATACTCTAAGAAGATATACCTGCAACGAAACAAAACCAGCTCATTTATTTCCTACATTTATATTCTACCTTTCACTCAGAAAAGCGATGCAAACCTTTTCAAGACACCACGTTTATTGTGGGAGAAGCTCACATGAGCACAGCAAGTAACCAGCTTTCCTTTTCTTCTTTCTTTCCAACATGTGTGTCTGGTGTGTTACCCAACAATCTTTTACACAGGAAATGAGAGCATCCTAAAGCATTTTTATATAAGAAAACTTTAGCAAGGTGCCTTGGAAGCAGGATAATGTGCTGGTCAGCTTGGAGGTATGTGATGGAGATGCACAAATGCACCGGCAACTATTCTGGCTTGCTAGATGGACTAGAAGATTATGCTTCTTTGATGGAGAGACTTGGCTACAGGAAAAAAAGTTATGAAAAACATGCACCTCATCAGCACTCACCCTTTAGTCTGGCCATCAGCTTCTGGGTAAAATTCATTGGTTATTTTCCCAAACTTTGAGAAAAACTTATGGATAACATTCTTCAGTTTCTCAAGGCGGTCTGGTCCAACCTGGGGGACGTTATCCACCACAATCACAGAATCGATACCATCTGCTTCCTGAGGGAGCTCTTGCAGAATATCTCCCAGTAATTCTGCGGACAGGGAGACAGAAACCAATGAGGAAGGTCTTGGGAAGGACAGAGCCCATGGCTGCGTTCGTAAGAGAAAGCCAATCATCTACATTAGGTTTGTTAAGCCTCCTGAAGGCAAGCAGAAGCTCAAGTGGAATCATTGGGTGAAAAGGACTTTCTGATAAATGGTTTTGGGTAATAAAGGAAAAAGTTTGGGAAGCACTGCTTTCGAGGGTCTCTATCATTTGACTCTTAACAGGCCAGTGGTTAATTGCTGAGATGAACCCCTGAACTAATTATTCCCCACAGCATTGCGCCTCATCTTTTCTCCAGCTTGTTTCAACACTCTCAAGTCAGCCTAGCAGCCACCCTAGCACTGAATTCTTTCCTCTGTTATTTGCATTATTTTGCAAAACCTGAAGTTTCCAAACTGTCACTGAATTGTTATCTATGCTGAATGTTTTGAATATTAAGGCATCAGAATGAATGAGAAAACCGTTTCAAATATTTTAATCATAGTTAAGTTCTCTTTGCTTTTAAAATGCATTTTAATCTAATGTGCCACAAGCATATTGTCACACATGTATTTCACCCTTCTCCTTTAAATCCAGTTGTACCTTCAGAGTTCTTCAGTCTTTTGGGCTACAAGGTGTTCATTTATGAGCCACGCACAAATGTGGGTACTGCACATTCTAACAATAAACAGGAATTGGACAAAATGTTCAACTGCCTCCTAGGACATCTTGCCCAATTGCTCACACAGTTCTTCCAGTTTGGTACTCACTCATGAATAGAAGCTTCTACCATACTTTCTCAAGTAATCTTGGCTAATTAACTGAGATCTCTGTTCTCCTCTGTGGTTAAAATAATTCTTCATAAAGCATCAGATTCTAATCTGGGATCCCTAGAGCCAAAACCAGCAGCCTCTCCAGGTCTATGTCCCTAATATGGGAGACAGAAATACTTGACAACTCCTGAAGGGCCCCTCTATACATCAAACAGAAGCCACATTTACCTAAACCAGGGGTCTTCAAACTTGGCCCTTTTATGACTTGTGGACTTCAATTCCCAGAATTCCTCAGGCCTATTTCATAGTTCTCAAGGTTAACTAACAACTGGCACAGTGGCTGTTTGAAGGATTCACAGGTTCCCTTTTCCACTGATAAGTTAAAAAACAGGGCTGCTTGAAACTGACAACAGCTCTTCAACCACATTCACTCAATATTGTACAGATGTCCACACACATACAACCGCTTCCTTATTTCCTCAGCTGTGCTCACCCACCAAATGTTAACTCCCTTGGGGCAGGCACATCTCATCCCAGACCCTGTGAAATGCAACACACACTGAACGCTCCAGCAGGGTCTTCCTGCTTTTCTTTTGCAAAGAACGGGTCCACCTATTCTCCAAAGCACCAGCAGACAAGAAATGAATGGAAAGGAGAGAAGCAACCTGGAATTAAGGAGAAACTTCCTAACAGTGAGAACAATTAACCAGTGGAACGGCTTGCCACCAGAAGCTGTGGATGCTCAATCACTGAAGGCTTTTAAGAAGAGACTGGACAGTCACTTGTCTGAAATGGTATATGGGTCTTCCTGCAGGAGCAGGGGGATGGACTAGAAGACCTCCAAGCTCCCTCTCAACCCTGTTATTCTGTCGAACCCACCCAGATACGACTTTGTAATCAGCTCTTTGCTTTGGAGCTCCTGGAAAGCAAGAACGACCTCTGGGAAGCACACAAGAAGCAGGGATGCTCCCCAAGCCAGCTCTCCTCCTTGCCACATTACCCAGGACCATCCCTGATGGGAATACCCAACACTCCCCCCCCAACTGGGAACGCTGGGGTTTGTAGTCCAGCTCCTAACTGGGAAGCCAGGTGCAAAGGGCTCCTCCTTGCCCTTTCTTCTCTCTCACTTGAAGTCCGCAAGTCTTTTAGGACTTGCGGACTTCAACTCCCAGAATTCCTGAGCCAGCATGGCTGGCTGAGGAATTCTGGGAGTTGAAGTCCACAAGTCCTAAAAGAGCCAAGGTTCCTAGTCCCTTCCTGGGCGGATCCACAAGAGACCCGGAACAGCTGCTCAAGGGCCAGAGGAGGAACATCTGGAGGAGGGCAGGCAAGGCCGAGGCTGCTCTTTCTCCTTCTCTTCCCCCCCCCCTTTGTCCCCAAAAGACCCCCAGTCCCTCCCCTCCCCATTGATTTCTCTCCTCCTCCTCCTCCGCCCACACCTTCCTCGTCGACATCGTCCACGAAGTCCTCGGGGTCGCTGAAGGAGGGCTCGTCCTCGTCCGGGCCGAGCGGAGGAAGGAGCTGCTGGGGCGGCTCCGGCTCGGACTCCCGCTGCGCCTCCTCCTCTTCCTCCGATCTTCCTCTTTTTTCTTCCTCCTCCTCCTCCTCTTCTTCTTTCTCCTCCTTCTCCTCTTCGGGCTTTTCTTCCCCCGGCGCCTCGTTGGCGGCGGCCACCGGCGGCTCTTCTCGGGCGGGCGGCGACTGAGGCGGCTCCTCGTTCACGGCCGGCGGAGACTGAGAAGGCTCCTCGTTCACGGCCGGCGGCGGCAGCTCCTGAGGGGGAGGAAGCGGCTGCTCGGGCGGCTCCCCGGCTTCTTCGTCTCCGCTGCTTTTTCCCTCCTTCTCCTCCTTCTCAGCCTCCTCGCCGCCGCCTTTTCCGGCCGGTTCCGGCTCCGATTTTGGCTCCGGTTCGGCCTGCCGCCCCTTAGGCGACTCCGCCGGCGGCCGATCGGCCTCCGAGTCGCTGCTACTGCCGCTGCCTCCGGATCCGGCTGCGTCGGCGGAAAGGGCGTTGGGGGGGGAGGCCGCCGCGGCCGCCGCCAGGCTCTCCTCGGTCTCCTGCATGGGAAACTCGGGGGGGCTGCGCGGCCTTCCCGATCGTCTCACACACGCCGCTCGGGGAGGCCTCGGCCGAAAAGGAGGGGAGAGCGCATGCGCGCACGCACGGGGGAGGCGGTGCCCCTGGCAGGGCCATGTGCGCGCGAGCGCCGCCGCCCGCTCTCGCGAGACCGGGAGGAAACCATTTCTCGGGGAGAAAGCAGAGGCGCTGGAAGGGAAACGTTCCTCGGCTTTAGTTAAGGAGAACGACGTCACTCGAGTCGTTTTCCTTTTTTCTCCGACGTGCTTTTCCCACAGTTACTTTTTTTTTAAAAAAAAACAACACTTTTCAGATTAAACCAATCCTCCCCTCCCCCCTCTGGATCCATCGGGGTGAGGCAGTCCAAGATGGCGATCGATTTGAAAAGCGCCTTGAGGTGAGGTTTGGATCCAGCAGATGAAGGGGATGGTCTTGGCAGGGCACTGGTGATAAAACTATTAGTTTACGCCTGTACCATTGAACACAATAGGAAATCCTTTATTTGGGAAGGTAATTTATGAAAAAGGAAAAATATAGTCGCACTGAAGAAGGAATTAATGCTTTACTATAGTGATCTATCACCCTTTCAAGGGTTCATAATGGTATCGTCTAGGAATTTGACGTATCGGGAGCATGGACCATACTAAGTGTCTCGTAGGGGAGCTTTAGCTAATTATTGGCACCTGTCCTGAAACCCCTAAGACAAGTAGTGTCTGGAATATCCACTACCTGTTACAAATTAAAGAATATATACAGTTATAGTGATTACGTTTTTCCTCTACGCTTCATTTTTTAAAGAAATCCTTTGGAATGGTACGGCTCGGCGAGCCCAGCCACATCAGCTGTTTCTTGCTCACGTGATCTTCCTTTTAAAGAAACAGGACACCCAAAAAGGACGGTGAGCCAATGGGTCCCTATTGCAGGAGAGAGATATTAACCTTGTTCCAAAGCTGGTGGTCCCCACCAAACTTTTAAAATGCTTCAAATACAGATTAAGATTTGCAATGATTTTATAGACTTCCTTCTTTTCTGCATTTAAGTGGCATTTATTTTTTTGTGGACATGCACTTAGGAAACCATGCATATCCCAGGCTAGGTTGCCTCCAATATACAGTAATAGATTGCAATTTCCAATATGGCATTTTGGCTGGGAATTAGGGTATTTAAGAGTCTAAAAAACATCTGGAAATCAGACTATTGGGGCTGGAGAAGGCTGTTTCTGCCAGGATATGTTAGTCCTTAAGGCACCATTTTGTCTTGTGACGTTTCTCCTAATCAACATGATGCAGTAATACAAAAATCATGGGTAATTTTACAAGCACTTTAATTCCGATTATTCCCCCCCCCATGAATATGACAGATAGTATTGTATTTTTATATTACAGTTACAGCGATGTTCAAATCCATTGGCTCTTTGCTAAACTGGTAGGAACAAGAACATCGAAAATGACCCCCAGGAAATCTCCTATGACAGAAAGCTAGGTAAAACTTCTGTTAAAATACTACTATTGGAAAATGAATATTCATATAAATGCACCAATGTTTCTTTCAGATATAGTTTTTGAACACGACGCTGTACTTATTAACCTTCCAGAATCCCGATATAATGTTTGAATAATATAGTACAACATATATGTCAAGAAAAAGCTTTGATCTGCTTATTTGCTGTAACTAGGGGTACATGGACTGTTGCCCTCTAAATAGGGGGTGCCATGCTAATGCAATCCATTGCATCCTTAATTTGGACATTTTTGCAAGGCCTTAGAAGGGCTGTGAGAACTTGAGAAAACAAGCACGGTTTTAAAATCAAAGCAAAATTTAGAAAGTGCAGGGAGGAGTCATAAACTAGTATGGGGTGGCATTACTGGTTTCTACAGCCTAAGGGTTCAGTATCCTGATGGTAGCTCTCCAAATGGGATCATTTCCCTTTTTTGTGGTAGCTGCTTTTTTTTTTAGCCAGACGAGCTATTCCAGATCAAAAGAAGGGGATTTCTAATAGCTTAAAGTAAAGTTCTTAAATATAAGGTGGTATCCGAAGCAGAACTAGATTCTGCAATAGCTTTCTACCATATAGTATTAACCTCGTTAACTCTCAAGACTCTTTTTTTTTCACTATGTATTAAAAATGGGCTGTGATTAATGTATATATGTACACATACAAACACATATATACAGTGTATATAGACTATATACATTTCTATGTACTTTATATGTAAACTGTGAGCTTATGCACTGGAGGCAAATTCTTTGTGTCTCCAATCACATTTGGCCGGTAAATAATTCTGTTTTGTTTTGTTTTGTTTTGTTTCTGATTCTATTCTTCTATTCATTCTACAATCTATTCTGTTCTGCATTCTATTCTATATAATGTGTATATGTGTGTGCATCTACTGTATGGCATCAGAATTTCACTTTTATTGTGTGCAGTGTGTACACAGAATAAGTGACAGTACTGGTTTATCTCATCTCATCTTTTATCTTATCTCAGGGTGTTACAGCAGCCTTTGTCAACCTCAGCCACTTTAAGAGGGGTGGACTTCAACTCGCACTGGCTGGGGAATTCTGGGAGTTGAAGCCCACCCCTCTTAAAGTGGCTGTGATACAGTCTGCCAAGTTGACACACCACCCCGAGAAAGGGTGTGTCCCAAGGAAGAGTTTCCCCCCCCCCCCCCCCGCTCTTTGCACGATGAACGTGTAACCGGGGTTGGCACTGCCCCCATCTGGGCGTTCCGGGCAGCGCTGTTCCCACCCAACCCCCCCCCCTCCCTTTGACGCACATCTGCTAAGTCAGAGCCTCCTGCTGGAAGCCGGCCTTGCCAGTTGGCAACTGGGTTTCGGGGTGCCCACGCCAGTCCAAGGGAAAAGGGGGCTGGGGGGGCAGGGAACCCCCTATCCATTTAGCCCACCCCCCCGTGCAACCCCCCCCCGTCCTCCTCCGCGCGGGACTTTCTTGCGGGAGTTTTGCAAAGTCGCCGCAGCCTGGCATCGCCCCGAGCCTCCGCGCGGCGGTTTGGGGGGCCCTGACTGCGGGCGGAGAGAGGGGTCTCCCCTCCTACCCGGCCGTTGAAGAAGCCCCTTCCCCACTTCTGCCCCTCCGGTCTCCCCACCCCGAGTCCGATCCGCCGCTCCGCTCCGCGCAGAAGAGCTCGGGGCGCAAAGCGGCGCGCGCGATCCTGCCGGGCCAGCCGCGGCGCGGGCAGCACGTGTCGGGACGTCTCGGAGGCGCCTCCCCGGCCCGCCCCACCGGCCCCCTGGCCTGAGAGACGGGGGAGGGACGCTTCCCACCCCCCGGGCGGCTCACATGACCGAGGCCAGCGATGGACCGAGACGAAGGGCCCGAAGCGAGCCCGGGAGGAGCCGCGGGTAAGCAGCCTCGCCAAGGCGCCTTCCCTGCGGCGCACCCGCTCCCCGGCTGTGCCAGCGGCGCCTGCCTCGCTCCAGCGGCCGGCCGCCCCCCCGCTCCCCCCCCGGGCTGGGGACGATGGGCAGGGCGATCCACAGCCCGGGAGACCCCAGCGCGCTCCGGCCGGCTTGGAGAGCTCCCGGGGGTCCTTCTGCCCATCTGGAGCCCCGGCAGGGCGGCCGGAGGGTCCCGGCCCGGCGGCGCAGGGGCCGGGGCGGTGGGTCAGCGGGGTTTTAATCGCTGCGCGGGGCACCCTCTCCCCTCTCCTCCTCTCCTCGCCAGCCGGGTTTTGTAAGCGCAGCGCCGGGTCTGGAGGGAAGGGATAGGGATCAAGGGAAAGGCGTGGGAGGGTGGCAGCTGGGTGGCTGGGGGGGATGGGAGGTGTAGTCCTCGCTCAGCTGGAGCACTCCGAGGCGGGAAGACCCCTGCGGGCCTCCCCATCACCCCAGTTCCAGATTTGGAAAAGAAGGCCTGGATTCTCTCCCCCCTCCCTTTTTTTAAAGGAGTTTGGGAGGGTTCAGACCTGTGTTTCTCCCAAGTGGGCAACTTGTGGACCCCCTACTCCCCAAAAGCCAGTTGGGGAATTCTGGGAGTTGAAGTCCACCTACAGGTGGTCCTCGACTTACAACTGTTCGCTTAGTGACCGTTCAGTATTACAGTGGCACCAAAAAACGGACCAACTTTCACCCTTAGGACCCTTGCAAGCCTCCCCGTGGTCACCTGATTCAAAATCAGAAGCCTGGCAACTGACCCACATTTATGATGGTTGCAGCATCCCGGGGGTCACCTGATTTCTCCCTTTTGTGACCTTCTGACAAGCCACGTCAATGGGGAAGCCGGGTTCACTTAACAACCGTGTTAGAAACTTGACAACTGCAGAGTGTCTCGCTTAACAACATCAATTTTGGTCTCAATTGTGGCCGTAAATCGAGGACTCTCTGTTATCTTAAAGTTGCCAAGGTTCCGGAAAGCCTGGATTAGGAGTTGAGCTGAAATGACTTGCCCCGTGGAGGTTGGCACGATCTGTTCGCCCCTTTATGTGAATTTAGCTTCTTTATTGTTATTTTTATGGTTAAAAAAAACGCTGCTGATTTCTTCACATGATGTGTTTGTGGTCGCACCAAGCTGGTTATGTCGATCATGAGTTGCCTATCGTAACTTCACACAATCCGTTGTGGCTTCATGAGCCGTTTGGGAGGTTGGGCTGCGTCTAGGTAAGGCCAGCCTTTGTGGCCTGGAAATTGTGGTTTGTGGCTTGTCACGCTGCATTAGTCCAGCCAAAGATGCTTTACCCCCAATAAACCAACATTAACCCAAGCATGGCTTAATAGGGCATGCTTGCCTGTTAGTAGCCCGATTGTCATTTTCTGGCTTTTTGTGCTGGCTGTAAAGTCTGGGTTTTATTTTGTGTTATGCCGATTGGCTCACTTTCTCAATCAACTTTTCTTCTTTTCTACGCAATGAACTCAGCATGTTACCCAACGCCCTCTCTGCTGTGTGGATTGATTTAGTATGGACTGATTAAGCTTTCTAGGAAGGAACTGAATGAGAGCAAAGGAAATAAAAAGAGGCACTCGGTTAACTTTACACTATCTCGTTTTTAATATGAGAAAGTCTCTAGAAAACTTCCTTTGCTGTCTCTGATCTTGTTTGGGCTGACAAACGTCTGACTAATTTTTTAAGAACAGCGCTAGGATTTGGGCGCCTGTATTTCCTCTGCAGCATTTTTACCCCTCTCTTTAGCCCAAAGATTTTGGAGGCTCTCAGATTTTAGAGCTTGAAAGTGAGGGCATGCAAGGAAAAGCAAGTGGGGTCAGAGCAGGAAAAAAAAAAGCAAGCTCAAGGCATGAGGCTGTCACTGATGCTTCTCTG